CAAAACAGATTCTGGACATGCGTACATATTGCCCCATGTCCCAAGCAGAGAGGGAGGATTTGAAATTGAAGCAGGGGAAATGAGAGGATCCACTCAAACTTAGAGACTTTCTGCCGACAAAAGACCCACAGTTATTTTTCTGAGTCTATTTTTACTTTCTCAACAATTGTTGCCAAAGCTGAGCCAGTGTTGGCGCTGGGGACATTGTGCTATGGGATTTTCTGGCCTTTTCTCAGCCCAGATTACGTTCCTACGTGTTTATTTCTACAGTGCGGGCATGACTAAGAAGCTTTGAATATCTGAAACAAGGACCGTTTCTTCTTCCATGATGTCTACCTGCCAACGCACACAATTCCCATTGTCAGCTTTACAAGGGGAATGTTGTAAATGTTGGCCGTCGCCGTGACGGAGTGTACAGGGCGGTCCAGATGGCTTGTGATCTCCAATTGTGTTTTTCTATTGTTAATTGTTGTAACGTTCTGACCTGCCCCCACTCGACATCTGTGAAAAAGAGCTTTATAGCTCATCGGATTCCTCCAGTATAAATAAATATTCTGAATTATTGACCCCTCAATTATTTTTTACCCTTTGCATATTCATCATTTTTTTTTTAAATACGCCTTTAAAAAGATTAAATTTGAGGGAATTCAATGGGAGTCACAGGACATTGAGACCCTCCTGTACAGCTGTACCTGGGTGACCAACACCGCCTCTGGCCACAGAGCTGCAACCTGTCACAGTCCGAAAGTTCCAGATAAGTTGACGTGACGACTCTGGGGCTAAGCAAAAAAAACAACCAACCCCTTAAATCAAATGTTCCATTAGACTTGCTCTCCTGACTCATCAAACATACCCATTGTGACATCTCCCATCTCACAGCGGTACTCATGTGGATGCTTTATATATCTTTTTTTAAGCACGAGCGTGCACACACACACAATAAAGAGATGCCATGTGTTGCCTCCCGGCTACATGTCTCACAGCGCAAGGGACAATCTGCTAGGTTGGTACGCGCTGTAGGATTTAGATAACTTATGACTCTTATTCAATCCACTGCTGGATTCAGGTCAACCCCGCGCCCACGTCCATCATGGGGGTAATTTGGCGGAACCTCACCATGTCGGTCAGTGCGGATTAGCGAAGTGAGGGGCGCCAGGACAAGTAGAGTTATCATTCATCTCCGATTAGCACGGTTGGCTACGTACGGTGCGATAAAGTTCAACATACATACATACATCACCGATGGTAGCCATAGCTGAGAAATTTAACTTGGTTTACGGGGTTCATAGCGGAGTGCATGAACCACTAAGCCACTGCTCCCCCCCAGTAAGTGGTATCATTCTATAAATTAGGCCGTTATTGCAGCAGTGCAGAGCCGTCTGCTTTTAGTCATGGGGCAAATATTTTTTTATCTTAGCACATTGGCAGAGAGAATACTTATGCTGATAATTCATAACATATGTGAGGTTGGATTTGAAATTGCACATATATCCTCACGCCTTTATTTGCTGATATATAACCCAGCTGCTTTTTGTGTATAAATATAAAACAAATATACACATTGGTGTACTGTATGTGTGTGCAGACAAGCGTGCGCGTATAAATGACACGTCGCAGAGCTGGGGATGTTATCTTGATTCCTATTGAATGAGACAGGTCAATCTTTGAATTCATATCTGTATCTGACATTGCCCTTATCTACTAGCCAGTAGGGCAATCTGTGGCCTGCATCAGTGCACTTGTCACAGAAGACAGACAGGGCACACACAGAGTGAGTTATACACACTCTACAATGCCATGTAACAGCATCCAAACACCCCTTTTTTCCCTCATCCAACAGTGGATTGAGTAAATCACCGTCCGTGTGCTATGCAAATGTTCACTGTGTGTATCAGCAGCTTAACGAGCGTGGGGTCAGAGGGTGCCTTTGCCCCCCACTGGTGGCCAAAGCGACAACCACCATGAGATGTTTTCAACAAGAGTGTAAAAATAAACAAAAAAACAACGTGCTGAAAACGCGGTTTAATTTTAGTTTTTTTAATCAAAATGCTTTCATTTGCGTTCCACGTTTAATTTTAATTTAATCAGAGCAGTAACGTTTGGCGACCGTGCGAGACAAATCAAATATTGTGGCCCCATCTGACCGATTGTTGAACTTTTTTCGCACCGTACGGTGTCAACCACGAACCACAGCTGTGAGTGCAGAACTTGAAAGGGCCTGCCACCACTGCGCGTTAATGTGTGGTTCTACTGGGCAGGCGTTCTCGGTTGTTGCCGTGCAGCTCTGTGGCGCACTTTTGGGCTGTACCTTCTCAAGCAACTGAATTTAACACGCGGTAGGCTTTCGCGACCAATATCATGCATAATAGAGATTTTTGGGTTAGATCGCGTAAATATATAAATGTGTCGTTACTCAGTTTGTAAATGTTGTGGCTTGGCTCTCCAACACACCGGTGTGCTGTACTAGTGACGAATTGGCCACGTTCTGTTTACGTGACAACCTTTACTATTTGGCTGTGTCGGGTGATGGCGGGTTTTAACGACACATTTATATATTTACGCGATCTAACCCAAAAAGCATATATTATGGATCAACTGAATATAGTTCCCGGAGAAGCTCCCGACCTACGTGTCGAGTGAAACGTCGGACACCGTGCTGAGCAGCACGCGTTCACAACCTGCCGAGCGGCCGTGGCTCTGTGCACGGGGCCTCAAATCCAGCACTGTGGTGGCAGTGATCGTCGGTGGATCGCACGAAATGTTGTAAAATTCCCATCCCGTGGGCATCGAGGTGCCATACCCTACGCTTACCAGGAGAATACAGCACAGCAAAGTGTGGACTGATTAATCTGCCCCTATGTGGTTTCTTCTCACATGCATAAACACTCACTAATTGGTGGAAAATATCTTAATTTCTAGAGAACTTCTAGCTCAACGTTTGGCAACCTTCCAGCTTGCCTTTGGGTCCTCAGGGATTGTGAGATGCAATTTGCATGAACGACGATACTATATAAAGTTAAATCATGAGAGAAATATACATATTAGAAAAACATTGAAATGTGTTGTTTTAGCGCACTGCCCTACTAACGAGTTTGATTCCTGGCCAAGGCGAACATCCTTAGCCAGTGATATCTGAAATGATCCTGGGCATTCCCTGAGTTGACTCAGCTTCACATGAGTACCTGGTGTGGTGCATAAACATTAGGACTGGGGAGATAAAAGTGGCTGGCGGTGGTGCTGGTTACACCATGTGTTCATGCGCTGCGCTGGCGTTTATAGGTGCTCGCTAAAAGCACTGGTCCCAAAAGTCTATGAAGCTATATGAGGATCTTAGTACATGCTTGGTTGAGTTGCTCTTGAAATAGTGATCATATCGGGAAGCATTGAGATCAAATAAAAACAACATTGCTTTTCTGTCATCTAAATATGTATTTTACTCCCATTGATAGAATTAAAGTAAGCTGTCGTATGTTGTTTGTTGTTGTAACTTGCTGACCCGCTTTATAGCTCATCGGATTCCTCCTGTAATATATATTGTGCTTCTCTGTCATGGTCAGCACGCTGGCCTTGCCATCCAGAGGTCGCCGGGACAGCTTTCTTAAACCCCGCTCACCCCCTCCTCTGTCCACTCAGCAGTATACATAGGAACAGCCACGGTTAGGCAATCCGCAGATCGCGTTTGGTGGGGTAAAGTGTGGGCACTCCCACCTCTTCCAGGACGTTTGGCCAGCTTGGAAGAGTCGGTCAAATACCCTCCAGAGGTGCTGTATTTGGTTCCACCCAGTAGAGGACCTTCTGCGATCACAGGGCTGCGCCTTTACCGTTACGTAATCCAAATAACGAATACATTTTTGTTGTAATGCACTCGAACAGTCTCCGAACAGTTCCAATATCTAAATGCTACTTTCAAAAGAGCTTCGTTCAGTGTCAGCTGGGTCACAAAGGTATCGGCCGCTCAAGTGAACCTTGTTTAATTGCACGCACCTGCTTTCCGCAGACCGAACCAATTAGATGTGCAAAGGCCACTCTGACTTGCCGCGGAATAATTGCCTTTACACAGAGGTGGGAACGTGCTTAGTGGAGAGAAATTAACAATACCAGCAATGCATGCCGTTGGGCTTTCCATCCTGACCACTGGATAGGGAAACAGATGTGGTTGCTTCTTCGACTGTACACACATCACAGGGAGCTCAAAGACTATTCAGCGTATACATTGAACATTAATAATAATCTTAGCTGCTGCCGTGTTCTACGTATGCTCGACACGGAGCTGTACATCAGTGACTAATGGGGAGTGTTCCGCTATCAATGCTCCACTTACATTGTAACACAAAGCGTGTACACTATGCTAATTTTGGCATTACCACATAAAGACCGAATATTCGAATTATTCTCTGCGTTTTTTTTTTGTAATGAGTTGTAACGAATCATCTGACCGTAACATGCGCACACAGTTTATTGCAAAAAAAATGTTTGGGCACGTAAAAAAAGAACAAACATCTCGCTGTGCGGTCGCATACGATGCACTGCCGCACCCGCGATGGTATTTACAACTCCTCATCCCACAATGTGGGAATTGGTTCAGACGGGGCACAATGTAAGACAGCCTCGCCGGTACCAATTCAATCTCCGAAACACCCCACAGCATCGCAGCCAGAGCCCCCCCCCCACGCCCACCCCATCTCGCAGTGAATTGTACCAAATTAATGATTCACCTGTTGTACATAACCAGCAGTGACCGTCCCGATCCTCTGCCTCGTCTTCCGCGCGTCTGCCCTGGCTTTGCGCTCTCCAATTCTGCGCACTCGATATTTCTTTACGCAACCACCCACTTTGTCAACCACCCTCAAGCCAAGCCTCCCCCGCCACTAACTCCTCTCATTCTCTCCTCCACGCCCCCCTCAATCCAAGCCTCGCGTATTCCCTCCCTTGCGCAATGACGCCTCCTACCCCCCCTCCCCCCCCCTGCCTCACCGCCTCTTAAATAGAAGGGGACGCCGCCGCCGCCGCCGCTGCTGCTGCTGGGAGCCACCGCTGAAGGCTGCTCGCTCGCGTGTTCGAGTCGCCTTACGGCGGCACGAGAAGAGGACGGCTTTGCGGGACAGGCAGACGGCATGGCGAGCGTGGACGACGCGTTGGCGTCCGCAGGCGAGGGTAGCCCCTCGCCGAGCGCCGTGCGAGCGTGCGGGATGAGTTCGACCCGGGGCATGTCGGTGTTCCAAGACGTGAGCGCGGTTCCCACGCACGCACACGCACACACACACACTCATGTGTGTGTGTGTGTGAGTGTCTGTTGTGGGGGAGCGATAGTGTAGCGGTTAGCGCGCTGCGCTATGAACCTGGCGACCCGAGTTCGATTCCCGCTCACGGCCAACACCAGTGACGATTATCTGAACCGGTCCCGGGCCTCCCCTAGGTCGACTCAGCCTCAAAATGAGTACCTGGTGCGGTGTGTAAATATCGCCACTGGGGAGACAAAGGCGGTCGGGCGTGGTGCTGGCCACCCACCCCCTCGTGTACCGTTCCGGCCTTCATAGGTGCTCGCTAACAGCACTTGCCCCTACAGTCTGTTAAGGCTATATGGGGGATCTTTGTTTTATCTTTGTCTTTGTTGTGTATGTTTTGTATCGAGTGGGGAGCGGTGGTGTCGCAGCGATTAACGCTCCGCTGCGCTACGAACCCGGCCACCCGAGTTTGATTCCCGCTCACGGCCGACGCCAGTAGTGACGATTATCTGAACCGGTCCGGGGCCTCCCCTAGGTCGACTCGGCCTCAAATGAGTACCTGGTGCGTAAAAATCATCACTCGGGGAGACAAAGTCGGCCGGGCGTGGTGTTGGCCACCCACCCCGCCGTGTGCCGTTCCGGCCTTTATAAGTGACCGCTAACAGCACTTGCCCCAACAGTCTGTTAAGGTTATACGGAGGGATCGTTGTCTCAGTATCGAGCATCCCCCTCTATGTATGCACCACCCATTGATTTATCATACACTGATTGGAATCCAGTATTATTGACGAATATGTTGATTTTTTTCCTTCTCGTTAATGGGTTTAATAGCATCGTTGCCAGGAACAGGCGTGCCGCAATTCACCCCGACTATGTATGCTGTCCAGCTATTGTTGCCTTCGTTGTGTTACGATAATCCTGAAATGGTCCACAGGCCGCTTAATGTGTTGCTCTACTTCACACTTATAGCGGAGGATTGTGTCTGGAAGCGCTCTCACTCGGCTCCAAGTGTAGGGGATTCCAGCATTGTGCATCCGTTCTCGCGGGCAATTGGCATGCCGTTTAACAGCGAGGTGTCAATGATATGTTCATTCCGACTGCGCGTGGTGCTCCTCGCTTCGATTGCACGTGTGCGTTAAAGTGATTTATTGTTGTATGTTTTAAAATACACGTCGCGTCTTGCATTGGATGCCACGGTGTGCAATTATGGTCTCTGTGTGGGGCGCTGTCGAGGCCATTGGATAGCGAGCACAGAGCGTGTGCGCACCCGTTAGCAAAGCAATGTCACGATCATTTGCATCGCAATCCGTGTGCGCGTGGTGTCGCCTATGGTAGCCCACGTCACATTATTCGCTTTTGTACAACAACAACACCAAAAAAACACACGTATATAGAGCAATCACGTGAGTGGGATGGAATAGGGTATCTCTATATGTATGACTTGATTCCAAACGATGGCATTTTGATCGATCCCACGCATAGTTATAACTGGCCATGAAGCCTCGCTTTAAAAAAAAGGGTGCCGCGTTCTCAGAATCGGGGCGGTGGATTCCGCGCCCTGCTAGTTCTGTGCACACTGGGAGCCCCATACACACTGCACGCATGCATTTATGCAAATGCAATCTCACCCATCAAGAAGGTGCAAAGTTCTTTATTAATATGCGACGTGCCAATTTACGCGTGTGCACGTTCCGTCACAAAGTGTGTGGGTCCTAATGGTACGGTGGCTTTTGTTTTTTTTTAGCAGTTTATTCGTTGCCACAATATTTGTGTGCGTGTGCGCGCGCACAGACGCGAGCTGTGACATATTCTTCCGTGCCTTAAATGATTACCGTGCATCGATGGTGTTGTAACATACAATTAGCATGTGCATGCATTGGCATCATTTTGTGCACGAAGAATAATGCTCGATTTAGGCGATTTGTCGTCTGACCTGTTTATGAATTGCACATGATGGCAGAGGAATGTTGCCACACGTTGTCAAGTGCGTGTTTGTACTGTAACGTGGTGCTGGCCTCCCACCCCCTCGTGTGCCGTGCCCGGCCTTCATAGGTGCTCGCTAACAGCACTTGCCCCAAAAAGTCTGTTCAGGCTATACGAGGGATCTTTGTCTTTGTACGCAGTTAGGTTTCTCGCACATGTGCGCACATGTATTCACATAGTTGCACTCTCACAGACATCCACCTCTATGCACGTGCGTGAGTGAGCACCCAAATTAATATCCTCACGCACGAGAAGATGATGGCTTGCACAATCAAAACTCACTTGTCTGTCCATTCAGTTGTAAGTGTTCACAGATTGTGCCACGTTGCTCATTTTAGGCTGATTAAAACCTCGTGATGGTCATACACGCATGTTTTGTACAGGGGGAAGAGGTATTCATTTCATGTTTTTTTAAACAGTGAATAGTGCTGTTTTCATTATTTATGTATTTTTTTTACCCAATTTTATTTCAATAGTTGCAGAGCAGCACAACAGCCCGTGTTGTTAGGGAATTATCCGTGGAAGTAGTTATCGTAGAACTGATTCCGAGAGCCCTTAAAGTGACCTCTTATCCACACGAGACGGCACTACTTTCCTAGTTGCCTTGCTTCAAAGATAAAAAAAAAATTCCCATGACAAATGTAATGTTTAATTCTCAGGGTTGGAAAGTAACCACAGTTAAAAGCAAAACCAAACTTAATAGGATGTTTTTGTGCGCAGTCATTGGTCACTGTAAACTCATTACAGTTGAAATTCCAATTTGGTCGTCGATAGATGCCCATATTTTCAAACTCATTTTAATATAGCGGTGTAGGCTACACCTGAGTTGTGCCTCTTATACACCTGTCTTAGAACTGAACGGATAAACACATCTCTGTGTACCATGCATTCCCCGTGCATGAAAGACGGCATACCCTATTTGTGTGCATCTCCGGCCAGCTCTGTCTGCGTGGAAAGAGGACCCACCTCCATTGACATCTACACACGTTCATCAGAGTGTTTCAATGCGTCCACACAAAGACGCGAACGCATTAAAGATTCATACTTTCGCACAGAAGGCAACCCATAATAATAACTATATATTTTTTTAGTACATGTGGTAATGCACCATTCTCATAGCACAGCGCGATCACAAGGGCGTTATGTTTCACAGGTGGATATGGTCTGCCATTAGGGAGTGATGTTGCAATGTGGAATCCTAATCGCAACATTTGTGGTGTAACTGAAAAGGAAATGTGGTGGATTTGCACCGTGAAACCCGCGCAGCTTGCACGACTCTGACGCCAGGAGGGTATCTTTTAACGTCCACGGCGAAGCCAACGGAGCGCCCGCGGTGATAACCAGGGCGGCCCGGTGAATTAAAACCACGACAGCTCCTCGACAAGCGTCGAACGCGCCACCGCCGGGCCACATCATGACCCCACGGTGGATGTGACCCTAGCGTTGACCTTCACCCTGATCGTAACCTTAACCTCTACCCAGACCTTAATTAAAAATCTAATCTTGTTTTACCGATAGACACATGCTACTTATTCGTTCCTTTTCGTATGGCATGCGTAGGGGGAGGGGAAGCAACAGTTTGTATCGATGTCATAGTTGAATGTTAAGGTCCTTCGACGAAGCCAAAGTGGTAGTCGACGCTGTATGGATTGCAGCGATACCGCCAGGGTGTGCGTGGATGGCGCGCACTCAACGGTGATGTGTTTGATGGTTTGGGCTTTACACACACTACTGATCGTATTATACAGCGCTTTCTCAATCCACTGCTGGACGAAGGCTTCTCCATGCAGTGTTGGGAATCAAGGACCAGTTCAGGGAGGCCAACTGGGCCGCTGTTCGCCCATGACGTGTGCGGCAGGAGCACTTGTTCAATGCTGTAATTGGAACATTTACAGTTCTAATTAAAAAAATGTGCACCAAAGGAAGAAATAGATAATTTCATATTAGAAGTGTGTTGCCTTCAATTTATAATTTCTTAATTACAACCACAATGGACTTGTCTTGTCTGATATTCACGCGAGCTCCGTCCATGCAGACAGACGCACACCATTACGCATTAACTGCATGTGCATAATAAGGAGCGAGAAATGAAACTGATGAAGAAAAAGCGCTCTGCTCGTACAAATAACCGGCGGGGCTTCATGAAGATTGACGACGACCCTTCGACGGAGATATTGACTCAAATGAAATATAATACGTACTTTTTTCTTTCCCTGGCCAAAAATTCATATTTTCGGTCCACTTGTTCTCTGCGAGGAATGAAACCTTACAGGTTTGCTGGTGCGGTAAATACAGCGGTGTGAAGGACACCCAGGCCGGTGGGCAGTAGGCACGTTTATGTGATGTCGTTATGTCAACAGAGGGAGGAGGGAAGCGGAATGAGGGGCTAGTGTGCACTTTTCATAATAAATTTATGCTGGGATAAAACAAAGAGGAATGGATGCCATGCCGATAATAAATAAAGGGGTTTTCTGAAAATAACCTTTTTCATTACTTGAATCAATCTACACATCATTGATCTTCACTGACATGACAATAACGCAAAGACTAATTATACCTTTTTCGTTTTTTTACAAAAGAGCTCAACACTTGGGCGTATTTTTAGTCACGGATGCTTACAGAAAAAAGTATGATTTAAAAATAATGTAAAAAATGCCCTCGAAATGGTTCCAAGGACAGAATTGCGTGTGGGTGGTGTGTGGCTTGTGTTGATTGCTGCGACAATGTGGTAAAACATGTAGGGCCCATTGAGCTATGTAGTTATTTTTCAGAAGCGACGTGGCACAAAAGATAGCTCAACGAAGTGGCTTATCATGTGGAAATTTATAGCAGCCAAATACTCTCGACGAATGTTTCTAAACGTGCAGGGAAAAACCAGAAGGACCAGGAGAAAAATCCACACGAACATTCAAACTCCAAATATACAGGCATCAGGGTCGGGATCGAAACCGTAACCTCCTGTATACCAGGCATGGGAGTTAACATCTTGCCACGATGGTGTCCCTTTTTATAAATATATATACATACCGTATAGCACTATGGAGGCAGCAGCAAGGATTGGTGGATGGCACAAACATTGTGAAACTCCCGACCTATGAGCGTCGAGAAGGTGCCATAGCCTGGCTCGCCAATAGAAGGCGGTGCAGCAAGTTGTTGAATTGCCATCTGCGTCCATCTGTACAGAGGTGTAGTGTTGTCTGCTCGCGCATGCGGGTTTTCTCTGCGTGCCCTGGCTTCCTCCCACTAGTACTATAAGCACCCATCATTAATGGGCATAAAACATTTTAAAATCAAAACTCCAATGTAGTTGGAGAATTAGCTGAGGAGAAACACAAAACGAGAAATCCATTGGTCTCTGTGGATTTGATATCCAAATGGGAACAATTATAATCATATTAGACACAGCATGACCAATTATCACAGTGACCTAACACTCTGTATATGTCTCTGCAGGGAAACGGGATTTAATTTAGATGCTTCCTTCAGAAGGGTTGCCAGCTCTCCCTGGTTTTCCCATGATCAGCTTCTTTTTTGATGTAGCTGTTCTGGGAAATCCTGTATGTAAGTCTTCCCACAACGTTAAAGAAAGTCCCGGTTTATCTTGGTTGTGTAATAATGCACCGATCAAGACAATGCATTTTACACGAAGTCCTCTCGTCTTCTAGTATTGTTAGATAGGGGCCGTCAATAAATGACGTCACGCACCTGGGGGGGGGTGGTCAGACATTTGTAATGATGTGTGACGGGGGGGGGGGGGTTTGAGAAATTTGACGTCACATCAAAATGCGCAACTTTAAATAAATATAGACAACACGTTCTACTTAATTAAATAGACTTTTTAATAACTGTTTTCTCCTACAACATCAGAGTGCAGCGCCACATTAAATACGCACTACAATTACAATAGTTTAAAGCGATTTGAAGCATTTTTTGGGGGGAGGGGGGGCAGAGCTTTGTGACGTCATATTTGAGGGGGGGGGGTCTGACTTTTTGTGACGCCGTGTGACGAGGGGGGGGGGGTCAGAAATCGTAAAAAAATCGCGTGACGTCATTTATGGACGTCCCCATATTCCTTTTCCCGTGATATTTCCCTTTTTTTATATACCCCCAGGGGTGGAAACGCTGTCCTCCAAATGCTCCTGAACCCAAATCCTAACTCACGCTGGCTTGGTTCTCCTTCGCTCGCCGAGTATCAGCTCGCAGGAAGAACTCGTGGAATATTGTGCAGTCAAAAGAAGTGGCATGAATGTTAGACCTCGCATTATTTTTCGTGAACTAACGGTTACAATGTGTGTCATTTTTTTGTAGATATTTCGGAGGGCTGACAAAAACGGTAAGAATTTGACAATCCTGGCACTCTCTACTTCGAAAAAGAATGCTTTAAAAAATCCAGCTTATTGTGCGTCTTTGTTTATTTTATTTTTCATGAAACTGAACATTGATGGGTCACTTTAGTGATGGCGGGGAGGGCACGAAAACCTGTAATGGCTGGGAGTAAATTCCAGCATCTTGTAGTCAGATCGTAAATGTTGCACAACCAAAGCAACGTGTGTACAATTCTCAGGAAACCTGAACCTGGCGACCTGTCAATTTGCCAGTCATGTTGCGACTCCCTTGTTTGTCGCCAGTGTGACTGACTCCACCACGAAATTTTTTTTTGTAAGCGCCAGGTGCCCAGTATTCAATTGATTAACCCTTTCCCGTTCCGATGACGAACGTGTACTTCATGGTGTACGTGTATGTCATCAGTCTTTCTTCCAATTCCGTTCCAAAGACATACATGTACACCATGAAGTATGTGTACTTGTACGTCATGGTGTACGTGTACGTCAGAGTCTTTCTTCCGATTCCGTTCCGAAGACATACACGTACATCATAAAAACGCAGCTGGAACAAAAACTGAAATAAAATAACTTTATCCCCGCACCGAGACTCCCACAAGGCCGTGCGGGACGGTGCGTGGCAAAGTTTGGCTCCAGCTGTCATAGAGCGCGGTCGTGTCGCTGCAGTTCTCTGCGGTGAGTACAACGTCTTTAAAAAGAATGGCGCTATGCCTATATAAATTTAATTCACGCTGCTCCGCTTGTACGTTCCGAGATTTAGAGGTGAACGGGACTCGCACCCAGCAACTTGCAGATATTTCGGAACGGGAAAGAGTGAATTGATTGGGCACATACACATGCACACTCTCTGATTTATGGAAAAGTGTAAACATATCTTTGCAATCAATGCATTCCTATAAAAGACTATTTTATTTATGGTTTCTCCCCCACCTTTTGCTTCTGCATTAGTGGCCGTGATAATAAAACCTGTGGTACATTTACAACGTCACAAATGCAATAAGCATGCGATTGTACAGAGCGTCCGTAAAGTTGTCCCATCAATTATTAAAGCAGTATAATTTTACAGCAGTTCAAGCAAGATCGATAAAACTGTACACACACAAACGTGCCGCGCGCGCGATAGCATAAATATTTCATCACGAGTCTCATCCCCCTAAAACTCCACATGTCCGCCAGGGTTGTTTGGTGGAATCCAGGCCCACCGAGATTTCAGAGTTCCCAAGTTGTTCGCCGAACACCATCGGCCTAAATTTCCTCGAATGCTTCTCACACGTGATGCTAAGAGTTCACTTGAGCTTATTGATTTAAAGAAAAAAGTGTATAGAGCGTACGGCACAGTTGCAGCAATATGTTGCCTCCATTTCAACCACACAGTTCAAACTGCTACCTCATTATCATTCTTTAACAGGAGATCATACCATCATGGACAGACGCACAATAAGCTAATCATCATAATTTGCCGTTATATTACTGTGCATCATTTATAAAAGTACACATATGCCATAAACACATGTTAATTTATCCGTAACAGTAATAGCCCGATTTATGTCTCTCCGTTGAACATCGTTTCACAAATACGTCGTCACTTTATGAACACCACGACCTGATTTACGTCGCCTCAACCCACACGTCGCTGACAGCAGCATCGTCCGTCCTCGCTCGTTATCCGTCGCCTCTCAGCCTTCGCCTCCACCGCCTTACCCCCTGTAAATCGCTTCGATTGACGTCGTTTCGATGTTCGTCGTCGCGCCTTCCGGAAGGCACCCCCGGCGCCGACCGGGGTATTGACCGTACCTACCTACGTACTTAATAGCAACGCGCTTGAGTGACGCAGTGCCCTAAATTTAACGCAGCGCAATGGAGAGCCTCGGATCTGATTCTCTGCAATGCGCCAATGATTGGTGAGAGTCGCCCCCATGTACGTTGTACCAGGCGTGAGTTGTCGCCAGAGGGGTGGGTCAATTGTTGCCCGGGCTGAACGCGACATTGAAGCGTAAGCTTCCAAACCACGGTCGCCTTCGATGGGGCGATGCTACAAATATATTTATTGTACGACGCGATGTGCACGCTAATAGTATTGTCCGTCATGCAAATATCTTCCCGGTCGTGATTATCGTTGTAAATAAAAAAAAACTAAAAACATCTGGAGTAAAAAAAAATGTATGCAATAACGAACGTTCTAAATAAGGAGACATTATCTATTCCATTATAACCGGCCACGTGCCTTCTGCGGTAGAGCTCCAGATTGGTGGGTAACTCAGCCCATCATCCCTCTGGGGTCGATAAAATGAGTACCACTTTGTGGGAAAACCAACAGTGATTGTCCTATGGATAGGCTTGACCCTACCATAGGGATAATGAATTTACATCGCTGGTTCAGGGCTGCAAACGGGAGATGAGCACTGCCTCCATGTTCACTTGTGCAAAAAATAACTTTTTGACTTTTATCCTTCAAATTAGTGCTTAGAAAAACCTTTCTGGAATGATTGACTTCATATTGATAACGGAGTAATAATTTTAGTTGTGCCATTATATTTTTTAAATCGATTTCCTGCATAACTGACAGCGTGTGGATTGGAAGCGTTATAGATCATACATTTGCAATGAATACGAGACTTGTGGCAGACCTATATTGAGTGAACTACGTTATATTTATTCCTACTTGGAGTACAGCAAGTTTAAGAAAAAAAATGGGAATACGATTGTACAGTTATAAAACAAAAAATAAAAATCGTAACCAAATCGCATTGTGAAAAAACAATATTGCATCTACCCTAGCCCTCCACCCACAGTCGCGTTTGCGGTGCGATCCGTGGCCCCCATTGTTTCTGTCGTGCGTGTGCTCACATGTCCATCAGACGATGGGCGCCTGTCGTTCGAGGAATTCCAGGCCTACTTTTCCGATGGAGTGCTGCAGCCTGACCAGATGCTGGAGCTATTCCGTGACATCGACACTCACCAGACCGAGTGAGAACCGTTGCTTCAAACCGCAGAGGCCGTGCCCAACAGCAGCACCAGCACTACTAACACCCCCACCTCTACCATCATCAATATTACATCTGTATTCTCTCAATGAGAGGTCACTCTGCTGCGGGTGGTGCTGTAGCTGCTGGTGGTGCTGGTGGGGGTGGTGCTGATGGTGCTGGTGGGGGTGGTACTGCTGGTGGTGGTGCTGCTGGTGGTGGCGCTGGTGGTGCTGCTGCTGCTGGTGCTGATGATGCTGGTGGGGGTGGTGCTGGTGGTGCTGATGGTGCTGGTGGGGGTGGTACTGGTGGTGCTGGTGGTGCTGGTGGTGCTGGTGGGGGTGGTGCTGGTGGGGGTGGTGCTGGTGGTGCTGCTGGTGGTGGTGCTGGTGGTGCTGCTGGTGGTGGTGCTGGTGGTGGTGGTGCTGCTGGTGGTGGTGCTGGTGGTGGTGCTGGTGGTGGTGGTGCTGGTGGTGGTGCTGGTGGTGCTGGTGATGCTGCTGCTGGTGCTGCTGGTGGTGGTGCTGGTGGTGCTAGTGGTGCTGGTGGTGGTGCTGCTGGTGGTGCTGGTGGTGGTGCTGGTGGTGCTGCTGGTGGTGCTGGTGATGCTGCTGCTGGTGCTGCTGGTGGTGCTGCTGGTGGTGGTGCTGGTGGTGCTGCTGGTGGTGCTGGTGGTGCTGGTGCTGCTGGTGGTGCTGCTGGTGCTGCTGGTGGTGGTGCTGCTGGTGGTGCTGCTGGTGGTGCTGGTGGTGCTAGTGGTGCTAGTGGTGCTAGTGGTGCTGGTGGTGCTGCTGCTGGTGGTGGTGCTGGTGGTGCTGCTGGTGCTGCTGGTGGTGGTGCTGCTGCCCCGGCTGTCTGGATTCCTCTGCTCCCATACACCCCTGCTGCCATCTTCCTGCCTCTTCTCCCCTGCATATGACTATGTTGAAAACAATGTCTTCATTTGCACCTCAAATGTATATGTAAATACATACACACACATCCCTTTTCATAGTCCCTGTGGTGCACGTCCCATCGTTTGTATAGCCTTTTGTATGTACGTACGTGCGTACGTTGAACTTCTTCCGCGCCGTACGTAGCCAACCGCGTTAATTGGAGGTGCAGTTGCATATAGATGCTAGCCGCCGTGTGAATCCAAATTGCGTTGCAATTGTATATGAACATTCCCGATGCTTGCTTTCCACATTTGAAGCCATTTCCAAAATCTGTTCGGTTCGCCGACATGCAACGTTTGCGGGAGTCTCCAGATGAGAGTGGCCACCTCTGGGATACCATTTCCTGGTCGTGGGAAGGAGAGAGTCTCACAATATCAGAGGGAAGCAGAGGGATGGAGCTACATGTAAATGCATAGGTTTTTAGTGTTGTATCATTCAATAGTATGAAAGGATAGCTACCTCCATAAAGAGTGTGTCCTCGGCAAACCAGGTGGCAGGCACCAGGCTTCCAGATGCATCTTACTTAAGCAACATTGGTGTATAATTTGAACTCATCTGAAAGAGTTTATAAATCACCAAACATCAGGCAATCAACTGGCATTATTTGTTTCAGTCGGCTGCGTATTCGTGTTGGTAATTTCTCATCATTTCGTGTGTTTGACAGATTTTTGGCCAGTCGCATCACAGCACACAGTGCAGCTAAGCCTCCGATTCAATCAGAAACAACTCGTTAATTTTTGGCCAATCTGCCAATTGTCCCGTGGGGCTTACAGGAGTTTGGGCTCGGGTAAAACTGGATTGGCATAAATAGACATCGCAGGGCAGTGTTTGTTGCGTCGCGAGAAATGCAATCAAGAGAATGAATTACCGAGTGCTGTGGTGCTAATCTCGGTGAGATATTTTACGAAGGCAAACCTGCATCACCGAATAGTGTTGCTGATATACAACGTGTTGATTGCATTTCTTGCGAATTTTTTTTCTCCCGTCGAGTAATAATGGAACGTAAGATTAAAATATTTGTTTATTATGTGCACGTGCTCTCTTTTTTATTGCAGCAATCTCAGTACTGACGAACTCTGTGGTGAGTGAATGCCCCTTTTGTTGAACCTTACGCGTGTCATTTTACACGTGACAAAAACAATGGGACTTGTAATTGTTAATGATATCGTTGATTTCGTATTTGCTTTGACTTCCAGTTTGGTTTCAAATAAGGAATGTTCTTTCCTTTTGTCAGTGTGTTGGTTAATAGCATGGCAAAATCAAATTAAACAAACATTACCAGTGTAATACAATGACATTTTCAGCTCTGCTACGGTGGCTGTATAATTAATTAAATTGCAAAGTGTCAAGATAAATTGTTGAAACTGATTTCTGTCACTTTTATTACAAGCGGGTGGAGCAGTGTTGCAGTGGTTAGCGCACGACACTACCAACCCAGCGACCTGAATTCGAATCCCAAACTATGGCAAACTACGAGTGGTGACCTGATATCTGAACCGGTCCAGGACTCCCGCACATCACCAACCCACACTGACCAGGGTGGTGAAGTATGTTCACACCCCCCCCCCCCCCCCATTGCCAGGGGTCAACAATTAAAATGACAACAAGAGACATTTTTTTGCTTTCACATTCGGTATGAAAAAAACTTCTCAATATTGTAAGAGCCGCAATGCATGTGAATAGGGGACGGTCCTAAATACACAGCGTCACGGAGCAGTCCTTAAAGATTGCAGGTTTCCAAACCTACTCCTCTTGGCCACACGACCGAGAGAATCCTTCATTAAGCAGTAAGAGAAAACAAAGGGCTGTTTATGATTAGATTTTTTTTACCATGGCCTCGTTAACATCTGCCAATGTGACTTTATTCACGACGGGATCTATTGAGAGTCCCATGAGCTCCACAAGGTAAAAAAAAACACTGTAATCAAATCCCAAACTCTTTGTGTAAGGGAAGGATAGATTTTAATCACCCAGGCATATTGTATCCAGCCCTGCATAATTAACCACTTGTATTTCAGGCCTTGTCAAATTCTCTTGTCAAACATCAATTAACATTTCATTTCTTTTTTCCAAATAACTTCCATTGAAAAAAATCAACACCAACTGCTCAATTGAATGTCACGTTGCTGTGAATAAATACATATACACTTGATAATGAATTCATTCATTTACACACTTGTTGCATAGTACATGCATATTAACATAACCGATCAAGCGCCCATGCCCTGGCAAGTCAGGCAAGATCACTGTATTGATTAGAACAAGCCCGTATTTATCTGCCGTAAAATATCAAATGTATTTATTTATGTTTAAGGCATTGGTGTGGTTGTCTACCACTGCCAACGTAGTCACATCACCAAATAATTGTTTTCATTTCTCTGGCGCACGCAACACTTATGACGTCTGTCTCGCTGCATTGTTTTTTCTTCATCTTAAGAGTACTTCTCAAGGCACCTAGGAGCATATGGCAATGTCCTGTCAGCCTTGGAGCAGTTGAACCATGCCATCCTGAGGGCCATGGATTGCACGAAGCGGGTGAGTGCTCGTAGCCTTTGTGATCACGTGGCTAAAAAACTAATTGTGAAAAGAAACACAAACGCATATCCCTTGTATCGTCTGCACAATCTTGTTTGGGCACCGTTAGGCTCCAGAGTATGGAGAGAAAATTGCTGCGGGTTGTGTTAGGAAATGTCTCCAAGCCAAAAAATGATCGCACTGAGAATCACACTGACTCTATTTACCATTTTAATGAAACATTGAAATACTGCATTGTCCTTACATTTGGCCGAACATAGAAGGCATTGAAAATAATGTTTCCCAACTGAGACTGTCATATTTTGATACAATTTGTTGGTATAATTGTCGTAAAAAACATGTATTTTTTCCATTTGTTCTGGATGTTCTGTATATGCAAGTATGATATCATTACATTTCCCCTTAGCATTCCACACATCGGTAATGCACTAAAATCAAAGAGAATTATGTTCAAATAATATCCTTGGCCTCATAAAAAGTTTAAATTATTTATAAACGCTTTATGAGGATGAAAAAAAATTTGTAAGGGAAAATATGTATATTTTATATTTTGGCTTCATCTGCTGATTCCTTACCAGTGTTAGATCTAGTTTTCATTTGGATTTAAGCAATATCTTCCAACGAGGGTTGCCACACTCTGAAGTACAAAAAAAATTATGGGAAGAAGAATATTTCACAGTTCCAGAGAAGGAGTGAATTAAATTTGAATGCATCGTATTGAGTGATGAATTTTTATGCAAGTGACAAAAAACCCTGGATTTTTAACGTCCACGGAAGACTTCGAGATTCCCTAGGACAGTTACCTCTTAGAGAGGAAGGTCTGGGGTAACCTTGACATGTGGCATCCCTACTTCCAAACCGACTTTGCATGATCCGATGTCCATTGCTGAACTAAATATGCTTAGGTGTATTTGCTGACATCAAGACAGAGTTTGGAATCGGTATGGGAGAAATCTAATGACATATAATTTTGCATATAGACAATAAATGCATATAGACAATATGTATGTTGTAGTACTTACTGTATGTGTATTCACTCTGACTATTTTAAATGGTGTTTCTTTCACTTAATTAGCATGGTCCATTGATAATTAAATTATATCACTGAGTTGGAATGTTTTACATGTTGATAGTGCATTTATTTTTCTATACAGTACTTAAAATAATTGCTTAAAACTTATACAAAACAGAATCATTTAAATTTTTTGGCCAAGTAAAAACAGGGCCTCAGTTGGGAGATCTAGACCAGAGTGGCCCACAGCCGAGTGTGGCCTCAGTTTTCATAGGCCTGACGAAACTAAAACTAAACTCTTTGTATTTTACCAGGTAAGGCCCACTGAGCTATATAGCTCTTTTTCAGAAGCGACCTGGCCACCAAAGATGGCTCAACGAAGTGGCCTATGATGTGGAAATGTATAGTAGCCAAATACTCCCGAACATATATTTCTAATTTGGGTGGAAAAACTAGAGGACCCAGAGAAAAATCCACACGACCACGGGGAGAGAGACATGCAAACTCCAAATATACAGGCATCAGGGTTGGGATCGAACCAATGACCTCCTGCATACCAGGCGAGAGTGTTACCATCTCGTCACCGCAACTATGGCTTGGTCTGTTTGAACCAGACTGTGCCTCAGCTTAGGTATCCTGTTTTAGGCAATGGATATGAAATCGTTCCCAATTTTCAGATTAATCTGAAATCGTTATTTATTCAGATTGATCTGAAAACGTGATATCACAGTAGGTGATGTCACTTGCTGTGATGTCACCTTCATGACATGGAGCATCGGGGGACATCTATATTGTAGGCATGAAGATATGTTAAATGAGTAAATGTGATCTGAAAAACTTAAATTCTGGAGATCTGAAAATTTCCTTAAAAATATGAAAATCCGAAATCTCAATTGTTTAAGTCCAAAAGTCACCCCTCCTATGGAAGACAATCCTATTCAATCTTTAAATCTGTACATTGTCGAACCACAGCCTATCCTGACTAACATTAAATCCATGAATACCATTTGCAAGTCCCTTTTCATCTAACGATCTGTGGGATGAGTGTTTCAATGCCGAAAATACTTTTTTTTCTCTCTCTCACTAAGATTTAATTATATGCCAGAGTGAAAGGGCATGCAACATTGATTCCATTAGGGCTTCAGAGCAACCAGAGCTGCCAGGACTGTCTCCAGTCAAGTCGCTGTAAATTATCTGAGTCGTTTAAATCTGTTAGTTCTGTCGTGAGATGCAGGCGCTTTATTAATGGGGCAACATTCTCCTCTTGGGGATCTAGGACGAAGCGATTCCATGCAAATTGCAGACTCTTTGTGAATTGCTTAAACACCCTGTTTGAGAACAATTATGTGTTGTGGCATTTTAATATGATTTCCATTCTTAATTAAAACGTTGCTCGTATGCATGGATACGTGTGGAAACCTTATTTGACTGAGATGACATTACATGGTTATGCTGTGGGAAAAAAAATTACACCCGAAACATGTACTCAATATTTCTATTAATGAATCGGGACCACAATCTTAATGATGTCAATAAATTTTGATTTAAAGCTTTCGTGACCTCAGGGATTCATATTCTTGGTTCTTTCGGTAAAGTCACGTAGAAGGGAAACAATAAAATAATACAAATATAAAACATTAGAATTCTCATGACGTTTCGACTGCAACACAAGCAATCATCATCAGGTGTGAAAACCACAGCAATTTTTATTTTCTTGCTGTGGTTTTCACACCTGATGATGATTGCTTGTGTTGCAGTTGAAACGTCGTGAGAATTTTGTTGTTTTATATTTTTATTATTCATTGTTTCCCTTCTACGTGACTTTACCGAAATAACCAAGAATATGATCTCAATAAAGTTATAGTTTTTAATTGTGTAATAAAAGGAAATGCTACATTCACTCTCGTGTTCCATAAACGTGCGAGTCTCCACGGATTTTCATTATTTCTGGACTAGTGAGTGGAAAACAGTCCACACTGGAGGATTCTGTTGCAACCATTTTTTAAAAAAGTCTTCATTGTGACACGAGTGCCATCACCAAAGCGTTATATATCTCTGTGCTGAAATATATCAATCATATCATCAGCCTTGATCCATCCACTGTTGGATGAAAGCCTCCCAAATCCATCTCCGCATTTCGCAATGCAGCAATCCACGTAGCTTCTGCACACAGGACAATTTCATTGCTCCATCTCCTAGGTTGAAGGTCCCTCTGGCTGCCACTCCTAGTGGACGCAGTACAATATGTTAAATATCATTTTTTAAACCGAATACAAAAGAAACATGCACTTGGACATTTATGTTTTAAAACATGCGTATTCTTCTTGGTTCTTTCGGTAAAGTCACGTAGAAGGGAGATAATAAAATAATAAATAATAAAACATAATACAATAAAATTCTCACGACGTTTCGGCCACAACACAAGTAGCCGTCCTCAGGTGACGAAACAGAACTGTTTAAAGCTTGCGTGCAGTCACGAAAGCTTTACATCGAAACATGCTGATTCTCGATTAAACTCAATAACGTGGAGAATATCGCGAAACATGACGCTTCGTAACACGGTAACTCACGGTGTCATTGTACAGGACCCCGCACACAGAACGGTAATTTGGATGCCATTGATTCTCCGCATCGGCAGTCACCGTGCACTTGAGCACCAAAAGGGCTTTGCTGTATGTTGTAAACAAGGCACTCGGCGGGCCAGGAGACGGCATCTGACGGTGCCCTGGTTAGTCGGCCACAGAACACTGCCGTGTCACCGCATCGGTTTTGGCAAATGTGTAAGGAACGTAAAGGGCAGGACGGTCCTTGTCAGGTAATAACAGGGGGTGTCTAAACTGTATTTTTATCGCGCAAAAATAAAGCTTATCAAGGGATGTTGCTGTGGTGCCATTGGTATCGCAATGGACTTGCAATCCAGAGTTCGCCGGTTCGATCCCCATGGCATGGCAGTTGAAACAAATGGTGCACATTTCTTAAATCCCCCGCCACTCCCAACATTCCACTCTCCCCACCCAGCAGGCATAGATGGGTTCGCCGCAGTTAGCTGATCGGGCAATCCGTGCGTGGTGGGGCGGTGGGCATAGCCGCATGGTTGGTACTACGTTGCCCCGGTGCAAGGAACACAACGGTTCCATGGTGGTGGTGTGGATCCGTTTGTGTTTGTCCAGGACTATGCGGACGCCAGCGTGCTGCAGCAGTTCGTGACCCGCTTCCTGCTACGGGAGACGTGCTCACAGCTGCAGTCCCTGCAGGGCTCCCTGGAGTGCGCCACGGAGGCCGTGGAGCGGCAGACCTGTCCGGGCCGGTGCGTCGCTCGCGTGCTCGGACTGCCAGACTCGCGTTGCAGAATCACACACACCCCCGCCAGTGCCGGATTAACCTAGGAGCAAAAGTAGCTACACATGTAGTAGCTATGTAGCAGCTATGTAGCCAGCTACATATGCAGGTCGCGGTCTGAGATTGGCTGTGTTCACTCCAGCGCTGTCCTCGAGATAGTCTGGTCCCTTCAACTGATGAAGGCCGCTTGTGTTGTGGCCGAAACGTCGTGAATTTTTATTTTTTTATTTTTTGTTGTTTTATACTTTTACGTGACTTTACCGAATAGAATCAAAGTACATATGCAGCTGCTACATATGTAGTAGCTACGGGCCCCGCACTTTCAAGGGCCCCGCGCTAAATTCTTTCAGGCTTTCAATTCCGGTTCAGTGATTCTGCACTTGCTCTATTACTATAGTACTATACTGCCTGCAACTTTTATGAACGACTGGGTGTTTAAGGTTAGCGATTTGTCATATTATTTGGCTGTATAGCAAATGCAAAATTACAATTACTTTACTGTGCAAGTTGAAAATGTATGTTTTAATATTTGTGTTCTTGTTTCATAATTTAGGGCCCCTTTATAACATAATGCTACAGGCCCCGCGCTATCTTAATCCGTCATTGCAACCCGTGTGTTACTTCCAGTCTTCAAATAACACCACACGCCGGTGTGTTACACCCAGTCTCTCACTCGCATCTATATTGCCCGTGTGTTACTACTACTATTTTTATTTTACCAGGTAAAGGCCCGCTCGCACACTTATACTGCCAGACTCCCGTTACAGAATCACACACCTCGTGTGCTACTTCCAGTCTTCCACTAATATCACACGCCAGTGTGTTGCACCCAGTCTCCCACATCTATATCGCTCCTACTACTGCAATTGTTTTATTTTACCAGATAAGGGCCACCGCGTTATATAGCAAGGTTGCTTTTTCAGAAGCGACCTTGCCACAAATGATAGCGCAATGAAGTGCCTTATCATGTGGACATTTCAAGCAGCCAAATACTCTAAATGCACATTTCGCAATGTGGAGGGAAAACCGGGGACCCAGAGAAAAAAAATCACACAACCGCAGGGAGAGAGACAATATGCAGACGTCAGGCTGGGGATCGAACCCACGTCCTAGTGTATACCAGGCGAGGTAATTAACATCTCCAACCCATATCCACATTTCTGGTATGTTAGTTACACCCAGTTGCTCACCCATAGCCACGTGCCATTGCATTAGTCTCGGTCTCACGCTGACGTTGACACCCAGTAGTTTATATTCTTTGGGTCTTTCGGTAAAGTCACGTAGAACAAAATTATTTACAAAAAACTATGACGTTTCGATCGCAGCACATCTCCTGATGACGATTGCTTGTGTTGCAAATCATTTTGTTCTACGTGACTTTACCAAAAGACCCAAAGAATATGAATTCCTGCAGTCACGAAAGCTTTAAGTGAAGACCCAGGAGTTTGTCCGGGGTCTTTCACTCACCGACACAGGTTGGTCTCTTAGACCCACACTGACAGCATCGCTTTGCTCAAGAGGGCCTTTAATGCCGTTACTAATACAACAGCAGTTTAGTGGTTCCAGGTCGTGGTAATCGTAATACTAATGATGATTAAAAAATATATAAAAGGGTCCCAAAAAAAATTACACTTATAAAGTGCCTTTCACCCGGAGGTCACACGGCACTGTGCATTTTCCAAAATTAAGAAATCCCAATAAATAAACAGGCCTACACCAGTTAAATCTAACCCCAACACAAATTATTCAAACAAAGCCACGAAAAATAAGTGCATCTTAAGGCGAGATTTGAATAAACCGAGTGATGATTACTGGTATACACAATATTTTTTTCATCTTTTTAGAACCTCAGTCTTATCGTAACCTGAGACTTGATTGCGCATGCTATTCTGGTAAAAAAGCCTCTATTTCTCAGCTGGGTCTTTCAGTGCCACTGCAGGGAGTCCACAGAAAATAAATTTAAAACTGGCACGGGGGGAAATGTGGGTCGCTATTCAGCTGTAATCGGGAAACTGATGAGTTGAAACGCAATCAAGAGCGGCATGCTACGGCCTATCACTGTGATGATCTCAATTTGGCTGGCGATACGACCAAACATTGTCTTATGCATACTGTTCAGGAGCAATACAAGTTTCGGGTAATGGCCTTTAATCAAACAATGTTTTGATCATTTCTGGAAGTTGCATCCTATGCTGGTGTGTTTTTTATGGAGCCGTGGTGTTTAATAATAGCCCATATTTTGTAGCATCAGTACTCACGTGTATCCTGACAGTCTGTGCAACATCGCATCAGTATTCAGAGATGGTTCTCCAGACCAACACAAATCATCGCAGCTTAAGCCAGGGCTAGCCTGTTGACCCATCACAAAGAAAATGCGATAATAATTGAAGGCTGAACTCTAAGCCACAAGTAGTGCAATTCTGACTGCATGTGCCCACTGGATGATAGCTGTTAAACGATTTACCAAGATGCCACTTGGCAGTGTTATTTAAAGGGTATTTTTAAACAGCGCTTTGTCATTCCACTGCTGCACGAACACCTCCCCACGCTGTCAGTCATGGGGATTATTTGACCATTATTCTCCATACTTGTGAGTGTGGGGTTGGTGAAGGAGGCGGGGGGGGGGGTAAACCGTTATAGAGGCCACTAACCAATGATGTTTGCAGTGGCCAGAAGTCTAACTCAGGTTGCCAGGTTCATAGCCACCACTCAATGAACATCTGAGCTTACTGAAAGTCATATTGTGGTTTACTAAGAGCACTGACTGAAATTGAAAATTCCAACCCTGAAGTAAATTTAATCTAGCATTTTTAAGTAGAGGACACAGTGTTATTTATATTGGGTTGCGTTGTTGAACACATGTTTTATACAATCTAGATTTGAAGCTTTCGTGACTGCAGGGATCCATACTCTTTAGTTCTTTCGGTAAAGTCATGTTCACATGACTACAATGAAAATTATTTTCTGAAATGCATGCACTGTATTATGGGAAATATTGAACAGCTAACACTGAATTAACATCCTCCTTGACTACTGCTGGATGAGGGTCTTTTCACACCATGCAGTGCAAGCACATATGTGGACTCCACCTGTTCCGTCTGCGTGGGATAGAGTGTTTCCCCCTCGCACGTGTCGGTTTTATCCAGGTGATCCGGTTTCCTCCCACATGCAAACACTCATGAATTGGCCCAACGCAGACACATCCCTGGGTTTGATCTTCCATGAACCTCGATGGTCCACTCTAAACCGCATCCGCACAAACCATGGCAGATGCGAATACCTGATGCACAAATTGAAAATTTAAAAAAAAAACCTCTCCAGTGTGCGACTGCGATCATCCAGAACAGACCGGACAACATATAAACGAGGCAATGCTCGATCCACAAATACGAAGGAGACATCACAGCGATTCACTTCCGCTTCTCCTGATGCGGTTGTCCGGGCTTGACCACCTGGATGAGACATTGCAGTCGATGCTCCACATCTACATCAGCAGCCGTACGGAAAGGGGAAGATGAAGCAAAATCGGCCGATGGCACCTTCCTTCGCCGCTTGACTGTGGTTCCCCGTGCCTCCCGAGTAATTTTTTTGTGTATGAGAGTGAGCGAATAATGGTTACATTATAATATTAGGGGCCGTACATGAATGACGTCACGCACCTGGGGGGGGAGGGGGGGGTCAGACATTTGTGACGATGTGTGACGAGGGGGGTGGGGGTTTGAGAAATGTGACGTCACATCAAAATGCACAACTTTAAATAATTATAGACAACACGTTCTACTTAATTAAATATACTTTTTGATAAATGTTTTCTCCTGCAACATCAGAGTGCAGCGGCACATTAAATACGCACTACAATGACAAAAGTTTAAAGCGATTTGAAGCATGTTTTATATATTTTTTTTGGGGGGTGGAGGCAGAGCTTTGTGACGTCATATTTGAGGGGGGGGCTCTGAGTTTTTGTGACGCCGTGTGACGAGGGGGGGGGGGTCAAAAATCGTCCAAAATCACGTGACGTCATTTATGGACGCTTGTTTGTTTTTTTAGTACGCTACACCACACTGGTCAGTGTGTAGGTTGGTGAATGTAGGGTGAACGCAGCAAGTGTAATTTTACTGCACTGGCCTCGACTCTCGGCAACGCCTGCTCCACCTGCCTTATGCACCTTCGGTCACCCGTCCAAGCACTATCCGAGCTCAATCCTGCTTGGCTTCGTACGTAGCCAACCGTGATCGTCGGAGGTGCGGGGTGAAGGACAAGAAAGTAGACACAAAAAAGGCAGGTCTAAAGAAATGGGTTTTTAAGTTTGGACTTAAAAGTTGCGTAGCTCCAGTGGCTTCCTAACATCGTGAGGAAGAGCGTTCCAGACGGCCGCAGAAGCGCATCTGAAAGCGCGCCATGCGGTGGCCGGCTTTGTTCGATGGCGAGGCAAAAGCCGCTGCGAGGATGTTCGGAGTTGGCTTGATGGTCTCTGCTCGTTGACGAGATCAGCAAGGTATTATGGTTCCTTTGTGGCAAATACTCTGTGTGTGTAATGAGTGCGACCATTAAAGTGTAATCATTCAGGCATTTCTGACGGGATCAAGGGTGCATTCCGCGTGCTTTAGTAAACACCGTACTGTAATGCAGCGTTCACATTTAAGAAGGTGAAAACGGACAGCCTGAGAATTCAAATATGGGCATCTCCCTGTGTGTCTGCGTATGTGTGTTTGCGTTTTGCGTGCGTGTGCGTGCGCATGCACGGATCAGGGTGTGGGTCGGCAGGTCAGAAGTCGCCTCTGTAAGCCGCCCCGTTCGGAAGACCGGCCGCCGAAGCCAGAAGAACAACGGGCTCTCTCCGAGCGACGGGCAGCACCGGGCAACCTTCCCAGGCAGGGCTGCAGCCGCACTGTGGACTAGCGAGTGGTTCCTGATGGTTACTGGGCAGTTCACGGACGGGATCCGTGAAGTTCACACCCCCCCCCCCATCTCCCCCTACCCCACTTCGTCACAGATGAGGAGTTCTACCGCACAATAATGATATTACGTACTCGCATCTGCTGGCTGCGAGTACTGTTTGTGCGCTACTGTGTATGTAAAGGTTTCATCGTCAGCATAATCGGCGTTTATGTCACCCTGTTGAGAGGAAAAAAATGTAAAATGAGATTTTTAGACATCCACAATTGTGTTTTGGGGTTCTCTCAGTGTTATCTACATGTGCGGAGGTGCAGATACCCACGAAACCCACAGTGGCTGCACCACTGTTCCCAGATCTCTCTTTGCGCCAAAAATACATCACTAACCTCTGGGCCCGATCGTCATTACACTTTACAGCCTCTCCTGTCCCATCAGATGGCTTTTCACGGATTCCTCATTGCATACAATCGTTGTCTGGCATTTTGTTTTTGTATAAGGCCTGGTTGTGTTTTTTTCTTGTGTGCTTTAAGAAGAGCTATTGTGTTTTTAATCATTGCATTTTCCTGGCTCTAAATATTCTTGTAGTCATGAGTCCTGACTTCGAGAGCCCTTGGAATGCCCAGATCAGCCGCCTGGAAAAGCTTCTGGATAAGTTGGAGACAAAGGTGAGGTCCCTCACTGCTGGAGCCATCCTCAACGGTCTACACCACTCATTATCCACACCTCCATTGGGCCGTATTATCCACACCTCCACAGGACCGTAATATCCACACCTCCACAGGACCATATTATCCACACCTCTACAGGACCGTATTATCCACACCTCTACAGGGCCGTATTATCCACACCTCCACAGGGCCGTATTATCCACACCTCCACAGGGCCGTATTATCCACACCTCCACAGGGCCGTATTATCCACACCTCCACAGGGCCGTATTATCCACACCTCCACAGGGCCGTATTATCCACACTTCCACAGGGCCCGTATTATCCACACCTCCACAGGGCCGTATTATCCACACCTCCACAGGACCGTATTATCCACACCTCCACAGGGCCGTATTATCCAATAGGCAAAGCAGGCACTGTGCTTAGGGCGTACAAAATCTAAAGTCCCCATGAAAAAACATTTGACCATGGTTTTTTTTTGTACGATGAAAAAAAAATGTAACTAAAATATATTCTTGATCGATTAAAATGAACGGCATCCTTTTAAAGCTCCATCGTGCGATATAATCATTATAATCATAGCAAAAAAATTGTTGAATATTTTTAGGCTTACCTTGCTCTTTAAAAAAATGATTGCAAATTAAATCTGCTTATTTGCGGCACACAGCGCACTCCAATCGAATTAGGGCACAGACCAAATAATGAACGTATCAGTAACGACATCTGTCCAGCGGCTGGAACTCGCACCGCGTGAAACAAGCAGAGTGACAGCGGCAGTAGTAACATGGGACAGCAGCAGTACCAAGTGTGGAAAGTTATCACTGAAGGCCTACGAAACAGAAGTACCTAAGGCCTACAATAATCTTAATCCGGCCCTACACCTCCATACATAGTGTCGATGTAGTCTGCATTTTTAATATTTTATTCAGAGTCTTAATCTAGTCGATGTCAACCTGTGAAATAATAATCTGTGGAGTAATGTGTTCATTATCTTAGTCTCAGTTATTAAATGTCCGTGTGAGGGTCGCGCAATTCCTCTCTCAATATTATCATGGCAGCCAAGCTGTGAACTCGGTAAAAATGTATTTGGCCAATCATAATTGTTTGTCTTCCTCGGGGCTCCGCTGTCTTGCTCCGAAATGAGCCGAGTCCTAGTCAGCACCTTCATTCGGCATCGTTAATTTCATACCGTCACAATCGGTCGTGCTTTTGTGTTTGGTGGGTGGTCTTAGTCATCGTCACGCTCGATGGCGTTCGCTCGTGGTCATGGTTGACTCAAATGACATAAACACTTTTGATGAATTTTTTCGTCACAAAATTCGTGAAGAAAATGAACACTTGCTTCTACATCTCCTGTACACCTGGACCAATTGTGATCAGCAATGGCATGTTGTTAATAAGCCCTGTTTCAGTTACTTAAATGTACAAGTGTATGATGTGCAAGTTGACGCATGCAAGTGGTTTAATTACGAATTCTTTTGCTGCAAAACAGGAGCTGAAACTGGAGCCTCTGGAAGAGGAAGAAGTGGAAGGAAGTGACGCTGTGAGTTCGGTTTGTCTGGTTGTCATTCATTTTCTTTGCCTGTGGATCCATCACCAGTTCATTTAATAACGCCGTCCTGCTGCTCCTCTTTCCATGTTGACAGTCAACGTGCGTTTAGAGTCTTTGGCTGTTATAAATTTCCACACGATAAGCCACTTCGTTGAACTATCATTTGTGGCCGGGTCGCTTCTGAAAAAGAGCTATGCATCTCAGCGGGCCTTACCTGGTAAAATAAAAAAAAATGTGTTTAGCTCTAAAATTTGAGTTTAGTTTCAGTCAAAAGGCTGTGCAAGTGCAAGGCACTGTTTTTTTTAGATAATTATAACACCCCCGCTCGTTTTGCTTCCAATTATATTCTTATGGTGCTGTTGGCATCATATCAGGAGGTGAAGACATTTTCATTTTGATCTCTTCCAGCGAGCACTGCACTACATTGTGTCCCAGAAATGGCCATTCAAAATAATGTCAGATAAATACTTCTGGATTCCGTTCAAATGGGCCTCTGAATTCATGCCATGCGAACACATTTTAATCACCCTACAAAGTTTGTCGCAAAGCAGTGAAATACATTTAGAAATACATTTTTAGACGTAGAATTCACCATATGAACTGAATGTTCAAATTCTGTTCCAGTATAACGTTTTAATCGCAGGTGGCTCAGTCTTCTGCAACGGTATTAGTCCCCCTGATCCTACCCGGCCACTCCTGATTCTATCCGGCGTACACGCTTATCAGTGGATCTTCTCACTCTCGCCATATGTATGTATGTATGTTGAACTTCTTTCACATGTTCGCAGCCAACCGTGCTAATCGGAGGTATCAATGTGTTTGCCGTTCCGGCCTTCGTAGGTGCTCGCGAACAGCACTTGCCCCAACAGTCTGTTTAAGGCTATTTGTCTTTGTTTATGGCAGCACGTGCTGCTGGTGCAGAGACAGATGCCCGTGCAGGAAGAGCATCTGGAAGCGTTCCGCCAGGCTCTGAGGCTGTACGCTGAGCACACGATGGCCGAGGGTGGATGCCTCTAGTGAGGAGCACATTAAAGCACGCACGCACGCACACACACGCGCGCGCACGCACGGGCACGTACACAGGACACACGCGAACGCACACATGCGGATGTAAGTTTTGGTTTACCGTGACTTGTGATGTGAGTACGTGTTAAGCGTTTACATTGTGCAAATATACACACGGTCACTATTTTTTTATGATTTAACCCCCCCCCCCCCCAGAAATTAGTTTAATCGTGATAATTCGAGATTACGATTCGATGTAAGAGTTCATTTATATTGTCTGTCTCATACGTTTTGTCTTTTATTCATTTTATCATCCTTAACGTATTTTGCATGAAAGCATAAGGATGTAAAATTTTTATTTAAAGCTTTCGTGACTGCAGGGATTCATATTCTTGGTTCTTTCGGTAAAGTCACGTAGAAAGGAAACAATAAAATAATAAAAATATAAAACAATAAAATTCTCACGACGTTTCGACTGATGATGATTGCTTGTGTTGCAGTCAAAACGTCGTGAGAATTTTATTGTTTTATATTTTTTTATTTTATTGTTTCCCTTCTACGTGACTTTACCGAAAGAGCCAAGAATATAACATAAGGATGTAGTTTAATCGGCGACTGGATGAATAATTAAATACCAAGTGTGCACTTGTGTAGAACACTTGGCATGTGTATATGCAGCACCCCCTTGTGTTTGTGAAAACATAGCAGTGAATGTTCAGGGAGTGAAACTCAGCCCTGCGAGAATAAGCATGCAGACACACAGGCATTGAAGTTACATAAGCAAATGCAGACACAAATTGACAAACAACACTCACAGGCATCACCGAAGAAAATGACTCCACATCTATGCTGTGTTGTTCTGTTTCATATTACATTGAGTCCGCAAGATTTGCAGCACAAGCAATGCTCAACTCGAAATCCATGCCTTGCTCCTTGCTATATATAACCAAGACTTAACATTTATACATGCATATATATTATTTTTGAAGTCTCGAGAAATAAATTATTCCTGGGAGTCTGTTATTGTGAAAAGTAGCCTCTTTAAAAACATAAAGTCAGGATTGCACACAGTCAGGATTGCACACATGCTGTGCAGCTGACAGCTTAACTTCAAAGTGGAGACTTGGAGTGTTTAACCCACAATGCCTTCGCATCGTTAAGGAGTTTTTTTAAAGCCATAGGCGATGTCAATGTGAGAGATATAAGTCTGTCACCTCCAAGATTCTGGCTTCAAACCTATTTTGTGAGTAATGCTCGTTCATTAGCTTCAACACAATTATACAAAATTAACATGAGCATCATTATGGAGAATATAAGTTACTAAATAAATATTCAGACACTATGTGTCCCCATATATCTGTCCCTCCATATAAACAATAATATTTTTTGTTATACGTCCCCTAGGACCCATATCTTAAAGAGAGGCCCCTTCCCTATAACATCTGGAGATTCACCAGCATCGGTTCAAGCAAGCTTGGCTCTGCTGATGAGACAATTCAGAGTGTTGCTTGTACTGAATCATATTTGCTAAAAATATGCACTCCTAAACTGAACTAAACAATTTTTTTTAATTTTACCAGGTAAGGCCCACTAAGCTACATAGCTCTTTTTCAAAGGCGACCTGGCCACAAGTGTGGCTTATCACGTGGAAATTTATAGCAGCCAAATACTATAAACGCATATTTCCAAACGTGGAGGGAAAAACCGAAGGACCCAGAGATAAACATGCAAACTCCAAATACACAGACGTCAGAGTCGGGGTCAAACTCACCATCTCCTGTATGCCAGACGATGTAGTTAACATCTCACCACCGCGGTGCCCTTAGACATAGCATCCAGTAGAGTGTGTGGCAAAATTAAGTACCCAATCCAAATGCATCGTCTCCCGTAATGTTTACTGACCGTACATTACAGCACATCGGCAACAGCCAGGCAAATTTCATCTAGAACTGATACATTGGCCGACCCATAAATCTTTGCATTGAAAATTTTGGATATTGTGGGTAAACAGTCATCTAGGGCGCTGTGACTCTCACCAGGACAAGTGGATTGGACACGAACGAAAGGTCATCTAGGAATGGGTCCATAATTTGGTTCGCATTTCGAAGTTTCCTCTATCCACATAGCTTTACTTTGCTGACTGCAATATTATTAAACCAACAAATGTGTGATACTGGATGGTAGTGGTGCAGGTGCAAATGCACAAATAACACTCAACACATTCGTCAATAACACTGCGCTAAAAGATGAGCAAACGTTTCGGGCAATGGCCCTTCACAGCAGAGAGATAGAGGTCAGATAGAATGAAAGAATAATAGTTTGAGACTCAGCTATACACAGTGGGGCACTGACAGGGATTTAATTTTCAGTCTTGGTTTGGACGAACAGCCATAAACTGCTATAATACGAAGTTACCCACGACTGCAATTTATATTTAGTAGCAGACAGACATTTGAAAAGTCAAAAATGTACGTATAAAATAATTTCATTGAGTCAATTTATCAAACGTACTTATGGTTGTATAAATTCTTGAAATAAAATGTACAGTGCAGTCTCCAACTACAAATCACTCAATTTCTCTGGCCTCTCGCTCTCTGCTAGAAAGAGGGGTCATTGCACTGAACATGGGGTAGTTTATTTCATACGAAAAATTTCGCGACACTGCATTATAATCGGTACGTGTACATCGCTTAGCCAGCTCGTCGAGCAAATTTGTAATGTGGTGATGTACACTGAATGTGTTTTTTTTGTTATTTACTTATTTTGCAGCATTGCTGTCCAGAAACTTGCTGTCGAAGCAAAGTTTGTTATTTATCAATTCTGGGAGAACAGCTCCCTTTGGAAAAGGTAAGTGAATGAGACGTGTTCTGAACAACTTGGAAGCAATGCTTGAATGATTATACTCCCGGGTCTCCCTCTTTGCACCACCCTGATACTCCGATCCATCTGCTGACTATCCAGTCCCAAATCAACTACAAGGTTGCTCTCAGCCTTTTCAATATCCCCTATAGACTCATCGCTGCCTCCCTTCCCTCTCATCTCATTATACTCCATTTCACTTGCTCTCTGCTCCAGCAGCCAAGGCTTTCTGTGGCCCCCAGTCGACCTCCGTCCAGTGGGAGGCTGCCCCTTCCATGAATTCAAATTATATTGTATACATGAGCATGAAATGTGACTAATTCAGTGATTTATCGCCTTGGTATTTCCGTCCACTTGCTTGTTAGTGAACCCTAAACCGTATTTATTTAGAATGAAATATCACCTCCGCTCAAGGGGGGTATAAAAACATTGCGCACTAAAATAAAATGCCAAGAAAAAGGAAATAATGTTGAAGTAAAATCCGCGAGAAAATAGCGAGTCTTGCACTGCCTCCTGAACACACCGAGACTCGTGGCGTGCCGGATCACCGCCAGCAAGGCATTCCAGATCCTCGGGGCAATGCATGAGAACGCCCCGATCCTCCAGCGTCCAGCAGAAGAGCCGACGTCGGGAGAGTCCTGCTCAGAAGAGAGTGGCGGGCAAACCCCAGTCGTATGGCAGATCGATCGGGCCCGCAGGTGCATTGGTCCGAAAACCATGCAGAGCTTTATAGTGGCGGGACACTGGAGCAATTTGCTTTGTTTGAGTTTTAAGCCGCAAGTCCACCATCAACAAATATATCCTCATGGCAAACATCACGCAATGTAGAGTGCTTAATGGGAATGACCTATTGCTTAGTGATGCAACCACAATGCTTTGAAGTGCATTGCTATATGCTTTGAAAGTGTTTGTATTTTAATGACTGGATCTGTGATTAACCCGGTAAGTATGCTTATTTGGGTTATGTAAATAATTACAAATACCGTGATAAGGTGGGTAGCGTGGTACAGTGGTTATCACACTGCACAATTCATTCCGTGACGTGAGTTTCATTCCTAGTCACGGCGAACATCAGTAGTGAGTGATATCTGAACCGGTCCTGGGTACTACCCCGCCCCCCCCCCTTAATGTACTAGGATGGTGAAGTATGGTCAAATAATGTCCATGTCCAACATGGTTTGGGAAAGCCCGATTATTTTATTTACATAATGAAAAAAACATTATTTACCCAAGAATGCCTCGCTGAGTCTCGACAATCTTTTCCAGGAAAGTCCTCCATTGGCATGTTAATGTCAATAATCATAACTCAATATAATCATAAACGTCAATGTGGTGAATGTAAATAAAATGAAGCAAACAATGTCTCATTCACATGCAGCATTTATCACTCCACGTAAAAACAAATACAAAAAAATCGCACACAACCCAGCCACCGCACATTGCCTTCCGGGAGTGCCAAATTTCAAGATAATTGTTTCAAGACGAGAAAATTCTGGATCGATTTTGACATACAGTGTCTCATCTGCAGAATCAGGCTTCGTTGAATCAATGCTGGTGAACTGCCTATCTTAAAGACAAGGACCCACTGTTTAAGATGCAACGTTGCATAATGCATAACGCTAAATAATAACTGGTCGAGAATATAAATAACAAAGTAGATAAGCACACAATATGTCTCCATCATATACTGTATCTGAATCTCCACGTACAAAAATTATTTCTTACATAACCAATCAGCCGCACAGCCTTCTGGGAGTGCATCATTTCAGTATCGTTATTTGAAGACCAGCAAACTCTGAGCTGGTTCCTTCAATGAGTAGTTTGCATGTGAGAGAAAGCTGGAATACCCGGAGAAAACTTATGGCTATAATACCAAAAGCACTGCACGGATGCATTCAAAAATCCATTCCTGTACAGTATTGGCATCTTTTAGCCATCTTGCTCGAGATGTCAATTGTTGTTAAAAATGTAAATATAGAATATTCAGATACAGCCAAGACATGGACTCATGCCATAATTTTGATATATTTGTAAGAAACCCACATAACAGCACGTATTATTCAGTCTCTCGTAGTGTACATTCACGGAATACTACAGTCGATTATACTGTGAAATGAGACTTGACATTAATTTATAATGTTAAGTAGTTGCCACGAGTTTCACAGTACTTTTTTTGTTCCACAGTACAGTATTTACAAAAGGATGTTTTTATTTTCCAATCGCAAAACATGCACACACCCTTTAGGCAAAATCTGAAAGTAGTTCTGGCGGTTTTATGAGTGCTCCTGAGAAATGCGATTAAATATTACGGCCAATTATCATAACCACAGTTATTCTGCCAACGGAGAGGGGGGAACTTGTTGTGCAATGATGCCAAGGGTGCACGATGGCTTATCGCGCGCTGCAGCGGTACCGCAGGGCAGCTTAAGGGAGGCACACCCTAGTAACACACTCCGAGCACGTCTGTGAATTTCAATAGGGGGGTAACTGTTGTAACCTTGCAAATCGATAGAAGTACGTATCATAGAAGCTCGCCCAGATCCGGAAGAACCCTGATGAACAGAGTGGAACAACGCGGACGTCTGAAATAAGGATCTCATTCGAGATCCAATGATCGCATCTCCTGGCTTTGACATTCCTTGAAGACACCGGTGTAACCATCAACCGCATCAGAACATCAACAGACCAATGAGCACTTCTCCTTCATGAATGGCAATCTAAGGACAAGCCATAGTGCGACAGTGTCCATGCAACCCAAACGACGGTCCATGTAGTGAACTCCTGTTTTCTGCGCTCCCTCAGTGGAGGAATAACAAAACGACACAAACTCTCTTCTGAATCCCTCTCGCGGCTAGGAGACCTTGACATTGCCACGTAGTCAGTGGACAAATTACCATCCGTACGCAAGAATGGACCGGAAGGGGAGTACAGTAACGAAATTTGTTACTTTGTAACTAGCTCTCAGATGTGTTTCCGGATCCTCTGTGCAGCTGGAACTTCTAGGCAAATCATTTCTATTTATATTAACTATTTTTGTTTATTCTACCAGGTAAGGGCCACTGAATTATATAGCGACCCGGGTCACTAAAGATAACTCAACGAAGTCGCTTATTAACGTGGACATTTATAGCAGGCAAATACTCGAAACGCATGTTGATTGTAAATGTGGAGGGAAAACCCGATGGACTCGGAGAAAAAATCCACACGACTACGGGCAGAACATGCAAACTCCAAATATGCAGGCGTCAGGGTCGGGACCGAACCCATGAACTATATTCCAGCCAAGTTAGTTAACATCTCTTGGTTCTGGGGGCCGCCTGCACCACCACACTGACCAGCGTGGTGAAGTATGCTCAAGCAACCCCCCCTCCCCCCCCCCCCCCATGACTGACATGGTGTTCGAAATACCTCATCCAGCAGTGGCATGATAATGATATAAAAATGATGTGTGCATGGGAACACCCTGGTGGGCCGCTGGCACATCCCTCAAGAAAGCAGATTTGCAAAGACCCACCCATTCACTCACCCAGTCACCCACTCACCCACTGACTCACCCAGCCACCCACTCACTCACCCACTCACCCACCCACTCACTCACCCAGCCATGCACTCACTCACTCACCCAGCTAACCACTCACTCACCCACTCACTCACCCAGCCACACTCACTCACCCACCCACTCACTCACCCACTCACTCACCCAGCCACCCACTCACTCACCCAGCCACCCACTCACCCACCCACTCACCCACCCACTCACTCACCCAGCCAACCACTCATCCACTCACTCGCTCACCCAGCCAACCACTCACTCACCCACTCACTCACCCAGCCACCAACTCACTCACCCAGCCACCCACTAACGACTTCAACACAAATCTCACCTGGACACAAGAATTGGAGTCACCGGACCTGGCAAATAACTACCTAATTACTACCCCACACAACAGCAGCCCCCTGGTTTCAACCTCCCCAGTAAGCTTCAGGACTGGTCACGGGCCATTCCTCGCCAACTTGCACTGATGAGGCATAAGAGCAAGCACCTCCCGATGTGGCTGTGGGGTGGAGAAAACCATGCACCACATCCTAGAAGTCTGCCCAGTCCACAAACTCAGAGGAGCTCTACTCACCCTCAACACAACAGAACCACAAGCAACCACTTGGCTAAGGGATTTTGCATTTGCTAAATAAGAATCCCGCGCCGACCACTATGCCGTGTAACGCACCCTCTCGCCGTGTAACGCAAGATGTTAACTACCTCGCCTGGTATACAGGAGGTCGTGAGTTCGATCCCGACCCTGACGCCTGTATATTTGGAGTTTGCATGTCTCTCAGAATTTTAACAATTTCTGACATGTAGAGGAGTATAACACATTTTTTGCTCACCCATCTTTCCCTGGAAACACAAACATTGTAAACTTCATTCTACATTTTATGTTCTTATCAGCTTTCTGCGCCTGTAGGTATGTACAGTGAGGGAAAACAAGTATTTGATCCCCTGCTGATCTTGTACGTCTGCCCACTGACAAAGAAATGATCAGTCTATAATTTTAATGGTAGGTTTATTTGAACAGTGAGAGACAGATTAACAACAACAAAAATCCAGAAAAACGCATGTCAAAAATGTTATGAATTGATTTGCATTTTAATTAGGGAAATAAGTATTTGACCCCTCTGCAAAACATGACTTAGTACTTGGTGGCAAAACCCTTGTTGGCAATCACAGAGGTCAGATATTTCTTGGAGTTGGCCACCAGGTTTGCACACATCTCAGGAGGGATTTTGTCCCACTCCTCTTTACAGATCTTCTCCAAGCCATTAAGGTTTCGAGGCTGACGTTTGGCAACTCGAACCTTCAGCTCCCTCCACAGATTTTCTATGGGATTAAGGTCTGGAGACTGGCTAGGCCACTCCATGACCTTAATGTGCTTCTTCTTGAGCCACTCCTTTGTTGCCTTGGCCGTGTGTTTTGAGTCATTGTCATGCTGGAATACCCATCCACGACCCATTTTCAATGCCCTGGCTGAGGGAAGGAGGTTCTCACCCAAGATTTGACGGTACATGGCCCCGTCCATCGTCCCTTTGATGCGGTGAAGTTGTCCTGTCCCCTTAGCAGAAAACACCCCCAAAGCATAATGTTTCCACCTCCATGTTTGACGGTGGGGATGGTGTTCTTGGGGTCATAGACAGCATTCCTCCTCCTCCAAACACGGCGAGTTGAGTTGATGCCAAAGAGCTCCATTTTGGTCTCGTCTGACCACAACACTTTCACCCAGTTGTCCTCTGAATCATTCAGATGTTCATTGGCAAACTTCAGACGGGCATGTATATGTGCTTTCTTGAGCAGGGGGACCTTGCGAGCGATGCAGGATTTCAGTCCTTCACGGCGTAGTGTGTTACCAATTGTTTTCTTGGTGAATATGGTCCCAGCTGCCTTGAGATCATTGACAAGATCCTCCCATGTAGTTCTAGGCTGATTCCTCACCGTTCTCATGATCATTGCAACTCCACGAGGTGAGATCTTGCATGGAGCCCCAGGCCGAGGGAGATTGACAGTTCTTTTTTGTTTCTTCCATTTGCGAATAATCGCACCAACTGTTGTCACCTTCTCACCAAGCTGCTTGGAAATGGTCTTGTAGCCCATTCCAGCCTTGTGTAGGTCTACAATCTTGTCCCTGACATCCTTGGAGAGCTCTTTGGTCTTGGCCATGGTGGAGAGTTTGGAATCTGATTGATTGATTGCTTCTGTGGACAGGTGCCTTTTATACAGGTAACAAGCTGAGATTAGGAGCACTCCCTTTAAGAGTGTGCTCCTAATTTCAGCTCGTTACCTGTATAAAAGACACCTGGGAGCCAGAAATCTTTCTGATTGAGAGGGGGTCAAATACTTATTTCCCTCATTAAATGCAAATCAATTTATAACATTTTTGACATGCGTTTTTTTCTTGATTTTTTTGTTGTTATTCTGTCTCTCACTGTTCAAATAAACCTACCATTAAAATTATAGACTGATCATTTCTTTGTCAGTGGGCAAATGTACAAAATCAGCAGGGGATCAAATACTTTTTTCCCTCACTGAAGTACTATCAGTCTTTTACAAAATCAATGTGCATTGGGCAAACGCGTGCATTGAATTTCACAAGAAGCCATTTTGGAGTGATTTTTTCCCCCACTCCATTGCGTTCCAGTTTATTGAGCCATATAATATGCTTCTGGAAAAAAAAAAACCTGTCTCTTTGGGACCAATTAAACTCAGCTGCAGATTTTGATTAAGCATCGGCAATCTACTTGGTTAGGCTGCGAGAGTCGTTTGTCTGCAGCATGGGTATTAATTTTATCAAGACTAAATAGAGTTCCTGTCATCAGCATCTCACAGGCCCGCCTTATAAAGTGATTGAGTAAACTTTGGTTCATGAGATCTCCCTTCAGGAACACTGTAAAATGTATGCTAAAATCTGCCTTCAGCAGAAAGACAACAGGGATCCCATAATGCTTCGCAAACCAATATCGCATCACCATTTCTGCGCACAGTTTGCGCATATTCTGTGCATAATACCAATGTGGGTACAATTCCACAAATTGCTTGTACATTAGCTGGTTTTATCGCTCCATCTTCACAGTCGGTGTTCGCTCTCAGGCAATTTCTCTCCTTTGGCTGCCGCTCTGTCATTAGTCTGAACCACAGGGCCATCAACCTTGCTAGCAGCTTGTCCTGCCCAAACCAACTTGACTTTCCTCAATAGTCGACGTGATGTCTCTCTACCTTGTGTATGTTCTCTGATCCATGTGCTCCTCTTCCTGGCTTGCATTGTAATCTTAAGCATGTACATTTCCATGCTTCACACAATGATTTGGCCATTATTCGCTCATCATTATTATTATCATTATTATTATTATTCGTGTGGAGGAGTTGGCCAAATACCCTCCGAGCTTCGTCGAGTGGAGTCCCTTCCACCAGCAGTGGCTTGAGGAGGCAATTGCAAGGCTGCACCTTTACTTCATTTATTATTATCAGACCATTTTCAATGCCAGTACAATAATCAGTTGATGCTTGGTTTAGTTTTATATCCCACCAGCCGGATTAACCCTGGTTCGCTTTTGACTGTGCACAACACCAGTAAAAAAAATGAATGTGAATGTTAGTCTGTGCCCCCCCCTCCTCCCCCACAAGGTCAATTCGGCTTGCAATTAATACTCAGCACAGTGTGGTCAGCACTTGGATACAGCGCCAAATGGACCTACATAATAATGCTGGCCCCACCACACACTCGTGTGGCATTGCCCCCTTAATAAGAGATTACTCACAAGAATGTACTTACATCCAAGAGTATGCAACAGGCTAAACAAAGGAGCTTTGTGATTGAGCATGGTTGGCATGGGCCCTCGTGCAAGGAATGAAATGGAGCCCCTTTTCCAATCTTCTCCCCCCTCTACGTAGCTCGGCACCTGGGCTCTGGTCCAGTTGCACTGCCTAGACACTCGGATAGCTGCATCCCTGTATTCACAATACCCATTGCATTTTCAGATATACACATTGCATTTGCAGACATGAAAATGCAATGGGTATTGCAGTGCCTACCTTATTACAGACCAATTGAGATGTTATTGGTCAACCCGTGCTCTTAGAAATCTCAAGGTTCATCCAACAAAGTCCCATCACAAGGCAGAAACACAAACAAATAGACAAAAACATGCATTTCCCTATTGAAACGGCTGTACGCAGTCTGGACCTGAAACCCCAATTTCCCTTTATAAGGATATAGGTAAACCATATGGGTTGACGGGTATGTAGTACTGGAGGTGCATGATGACTGTACTTGAATTGTAATGGGCATTGTAAGCTCATCGTCGTCATCATCATCACCATAAGCCATTATCAATCCACTGTTGGAAGTAGACTTCATCATCACCATAAGCCATTATCAATCCACTGTTGGAAAGTAGACTTCATCATCACCATAAGCCATTATCAATCCACTGTTGGAAGTAGACTTCATCATCACCATAAGCCATTATCAATCCACTGTTGGAAGTAGACTTCCCCAAGCCATCACTATCCCTCATGGTCCTACGATGTAACAAGCTAGTGTAAAACCGGAATTGTAAAGCTTTCATAACCGTGACGAATAAACAACTTGTTCACAGCCACCAACAGACGGGCCACAGCCGAAGCTTCCAGAGAAGCATGGTTGACCAACTGGAGTCCCCAGAGGCCATAGCAACGATGCTGGTTCCAGGTAAAATAAGTAAATGTTCCCTCTGTATTCCGATCACACCAATGCCACATTCTCGCTACCCTTGGGAAGCAAGCAATCCTGGTTTGCGAGCAGACAAGCCCGAATCTCTCATCGTGGATTTACCTGGCTAAGTTAGCACTGCTTGGGCCTTGCAGCCAGCTTATACTGGACCACGTGGGCAGGCTTTCATAAGGGAGCTGCACACTTTTTTTACCAAGGCGGACCTTAGAAAAAGTCGTGATAGCACAGTCGGAATTCGGACTAAAGATGTGATATCCAAAGGTGTTTTTTGCACAGAGCAACTTCAGATCAATGCGTAACAAAGGCAGCCATTTCCCCCCCCAAAAAAAACACCCCAAAACTCTTACAAATAACATCTTTAACTGTCAATGTTGTCCGATTTTTCTGAAAAGACCACCTTGACTGGGTTAATGTCTCGATTGGGATCATCAGCATTTTACATGTCACCATCAGCTTCTTTGCGAATGGCCGTGCGCGGTGACCGTGAACCTGCTGTTTGGAGCAGCTGCAAAGTGAAGCCTGTGGCGAGGAAAAATGTTGTTGCTGTTCGTCGTGTGCCACTCGTCTTAACGCTGTTTAACTATTTAATCGTCTGTATAAAAGCCCTGAAGTACTGCTTTATTCCAACGAGGCATATATTGCAAGAGGAGAGCTGTGTATGCCGACAAAGGTGTTGGTCAGGGTGTCATTAACTGCAATGCCTTTATACATGGGAGTTATACGGTGTCGAGAGTGGCACATCACAACCCATCTTTCAAGGGCCGCATAATGAAGTTGACATCCGTTATAACACATTTCAGTAGAATGCGGATATAAGCACACTTGTGTGCTGTCTGTCTATGTGTGAGGAGCAGTGGGGGAGTGGTTAGCATTCTGCGCCACGATCCTGGTAACCCGAGTTCAATTCCCGCTCATGGCCAACACCAGCGACGATTATATGAACCGGTCATGGGCCTCCCGTGGGTCGACTCACCCTTACACGACTACCTGGTGCGGTGTTTAACAACATCGGACAGTGGGGAGACAAAGGCCATGTTGGCCTTCATTGGTGCTTGCTAGCAGCTGGCAGGAATCCCTCATGCCTCATTAAAATCGACGTGACTTGTATAGTTTCGCTGTATTGACAGGTATAATGGTAGTTGTACCAAAGCGCCTCCGTTTCATTGCTGTTAAATTATTTAATGCAATGTCACTTTTTTTGTTTGCTTGCAGCTTCCTGGTGGACTCTGAGCAGCAACTGAAAAATCCACACACTTGCGTGTTTCTGGGTGTTCAACGTTGTATTTGTGAGCGCAGATGCTGTGTCCATGCTTGGTGTTTGCAACGGTTCCTGGCACTTACACGCAACTTGTGCACACGCGCGCGCGCGCACAAACCACGTTTCCTTCGACATTGACATTCAAGGAAAGACCAGAGATCAATGTAACAGGGTTCGTTTTATAGGAGTGGTATTTAAATGCACACGTACGTACTGTTTAGCTGTGTGTTGTAAAACAAACCGATTTGTGGCACTGTGTTTGGTTGAAAACGCAGTGGACACAGCTGACCTGGATAATGTATGCTGATTTTGGTAAATGATGTCTGTCGGTGTGTATTTGCATTCTGTATCTTGATAAATTCATATAATATTAAAGTATATTCATTCCATGGAAAATCACGATATAGACGTTTACAGTATTATAATTAAAATGTTTTCGTAAATTCAACAAAGTATCAATAAAATGTTCTATATGGTCAGTATACCACCGTTAATTAACATGTAAAGATGTTTTTAAATTATAGTTTTACATTACAACATAATACATTTTTCATAATGTATATCCACTATAAATTCAAATTATGAATTGTGATTTAAATAGGAGTATTTGATTATTTCAATCATCTCGTGTTGCAAACCAGACCCTATGCGTTGAGAGAACGGACAAAAATACACAATTACTACTGTGTGGGTTTTCTGCGGTTGAGCTGATGGCTCCGGTGATGTGTTCGCTCCTTATACCGCGTCTTGTTCGTCACGGTGTCTGAGGAGTTCAGGCGCAACAAGGAAGTTCCCAGCACATGGAGAAAAACATCAGACAAGCTAAACGACCCGCGGTACAACGCGAAAACACATTGACATCGGAGACCTATAGGGATTAATTATTTACGACTTGCTAAAGTTACACATAAAGTGATATCCCTTGGTTACATAAAACATGTTATGTAGATAAATGATGCATTAAAGGCAGAATTGACTGGAGCTAAGCAAGTTTCGGGTCATGTGAGTTGCAACAGCTGACCCGAGTGACACAATCTCCCTATTGATGGCGATATAACGGAGTTGTGCATCTGCACCCATCCCAAAGGTGTGAGAAGAAACATAGCCACGCCACCACATCTCAGCTCGGCCACAGTTTTTGCCCCCAATGCTCCTCTCACAGCAAATATATGAAATCTGACATTTTGACATGTGGAAATATTGTCGTAATTTTCGGTTCCAAAATCTGACGTAAAGCCTTAGGTATAGCATTCACTTAAAATAATTGTCACCCACTGTGCTGATAGAAGTACGGCTTTATCATACTGCAGTGTTATTATAAATATTCATTTTGGATGATTATAGGTAAGGAAAGAACTCGCAAATAATATTTCATATTGGAGAAGAAATTGTCGCAGTGGGAGAAACATCGTTTTGGTGAGATATTTTCTTACCTATAATTCTTTTTTTTTAATTATCGTGGGCGATGGCCACATTTGCTTGCTTTGACGCATGTTGGAATTTGAACGTCGTAAAATAATTTACAGCACAGGGGGAAGCCGTACCAGACACCAGCAGTGGTGTTCAGATAAGAATTGGGTGGACCAAAGGCTGACGATGAGTTTACTCCATGCACTTGAGCTGCTTTTATGAGCATGCAACTGTACACATGTCATTTCAGTTGCATTAATGTGGCACTGAGGGGGGAGGGTAGAAGTAGTCGTCGGCAGCCCAGAGTATAACACTTCTTTCTGGGGGGTCAGATGTTGTCCCTGCTCCCGCATATGAGCTTGTTCTTTTCTCCACTTATTAAATGCGTCTGCTCATTTGTTGAAACATTATTCTGGTGACTGATCTTTTTTTTTGCACAACAGCTATGGGAAATGTACATCTTGCAGAGTTATGGTGGTTCCATTTACTTGTTAAAAACACCTTGCTCAGTGGTCGAATGATTATGACATTCTCCAAGTTGACATACGGTAGTTAGAAAATATATAAAATTAACATAGAGACATTTGTACCCACATTTAATATCAGATATTATACATATACAGTACATGATCGTTGACTGACTGGGTGAATGTTATACATTTTCATTACCTTCGGGTAAGACAGCAGGGAGCAGTAGGGCAGTGGTTATCACTTCGCTATAAACCCGGTGACCCGGGCTCAATTCCCGGCAACGGCTAATATCAGTGGTGGGTGATATCTGAAACAGTCCTCCATCAACCAGCAGTGACCAGTGTGGTGAAGTATGATGAAATCTTGATTTGAAGCTTTCGTGACTGCAAGGAATCCATACTCTTTGGGTCTTTCGGTAAAGTCACGTAGGTAGAAAAATAATAGATCACGACTTTTCGGACGCTTGTGTCACCTAATGACGGACGCTTGTGTTGCATCCGAAACCTACGTGACTTTACCGAAAGACCCAAAGAGTATGGAAGTATGGTGAAACAATGTTTATGGACAATACAGCATGGGACGGACCTTCTCCAGCAGTATATTGTTATCGAGGGCGTAAGGTTTTTTTTTCTTTTCATATAAGGGTTATTAAGTTGAACATTTGCACAAATATATCCGTCTGCTTATGCTGTAACCTTAAAAATAAAATAAAAACATGCATATTTTTTTTATTTCTTTTACACCCATAAACACAAATTACAGCCTGGAAATTTATTTAAAATCACAGGTTGAGTCTAAATTTCTAAATTACTTTAGGTCTTATGCTCAACACTTAAAATACTGTGTACATCATCAAGGAACACATTTTCGTGCCCTGTAGTGTGATGAAATATCTGGAAAGCGGATGGAATCGCAGTTCAAAATTAACATGTCCTCATGGTCAAAGCCATTGATGCCACTACTGATATTTACTCATATATAATTGTCCAACACCTATTACATATTGCACTTGTGCAAATCATTGTTTCATGTCTCAAGAGTAATCTTGCAAAAAATATCCACTCGTTCGCCGCATGCTTATCTGCAATGGTATCCACGAAGCATAGTGACAAGGTAACCAATGTTGTTTTTGAAAGTGTAGTGTTTGATTTGTAATGTGGGGAATAGCTGTATATTTGTTGTCGTTCATTTCATAGACTTAGCATCACGAACGAAGCGCAGCTGGTGATTTGCGTTGACATTTCTGTTGGCTATACATCATGTTATTATCATGATCATGTCAAGAGGGGGAAAAAAGGCAGGCGATTAAATGCATATCAAATAGCATGTAGGCACCACCGATATACCCATCTGTGTATAATGCAATTCATAATAACATGGACTACGGAATTGACTTTAGAGGATCAGTTGCTATGGGAACCACTCCAAGAAATTACAAGCACATGCCAAAATGACTTTTCAAGGAGAAAAACCATTCATGCTCCCCTATGATAGTGATGGAAATGTGAAGGTGTCATACCATTGACACTTCTGTATTATACGCTAATTTAAACAATACATTGCTGGGCATTTTAATTTGGAAGCTCAGGGTTATTGTATCAGATATTACATTATTCATGGTGGAAATCTGCCGTTTTTATGGGTTTGTGGTACCGTGCATCGTTTTCATTTTTCACGCAGAATGTGGACGGAATTGTTGGTGCAAAGTTGGCAATAACCAATTTTTCAGTAAAATATAAGATAGAGGGGCGGACTTCCACAATTGACTTCTCACGCCACTTGGTCGAAGGGCTTTCGCTAGAGGGACCTAAAGAGATTAGTTTGGACTACTCTGCTACACCGATCAGACGTCTTAGAAGTGCTGGCGGTACCCACACTTTACCCCAACACACATGGGACCAACACGCGCCGTTTGACAATGACGGCCACCCTTCCCTACTGGGACATTTCTCAGTCCGCCTCCGTTGAGCGGAACACACTGCTAGGTGGGGACGATGGCTGACGGACGAGGTAGTGACGGAATAGCGGCCAAAGGAGAGAACGCCTATGGCAGGCTCATGTTGCCGTGAACTGTAGCCGAATAGCTCTGAGCCAATCTTTATCGGCGCATGTCACGTGTCAAGGTGCAGCCCTGCAATTGTTCGCTCGCGCCACTGCTGGCGGAAGCGCCTCCACCAGAGGGGGCTCTAGAGGGTATTTGGTCTACTCTTCCTCGCTGGCCAGACGTGATGAGATAGGTGGGAGTACCCACACTTTACCCCACCACTCGCGGCCTGCCGATCAACTTAGCTATGTTGTACCAATTTATATAATTCTGGGTGAACAGATGCGGACGGGAATCAGGGTGCTGCCAGTCAATGAACTTGCGGTAATATTTTTAAAAAATGCCGCGCCGGGAGATAGAATATGGAACCAGCTACCACCTACGGATTGCAGGTCCAGTGGTGCTAAGCATTACACACCACGGGCAGCCCGTATAGCAACAATACAGATGACATACAATCAATTGCAGTATAGGCTTTATAAAGGACACTCAAACGTGGCGATACTCGTCATGATCGTGACAATGTAATATCGCGTGGCTGTGTATTTAGATAGTTTTGCTGCTATACATTTCAACACGAGCTTTCATTTGTGGCCAGGTCGCTTCTGATGAATAAGTTAATACCTCAGTGGGCTTTACATGGCAAGATATGAATACATTTTCTTTTTATTCGTAGAAATTTTTTTAAAGTTCTTTTTGTCGTGTTTTTTTTTGGGGGGGGGGAGGGGGGTCTTGTTTGTTATTGTAACGTTCTGACCCATCCCTGGCGGGACATCTGGAAAAAAAAGAGCTTTATAGCTCATCGGATTCCTCCAATACATAAAGATACATCTGATCATCTAGGACACTTCCACGTGGCGTTGTGTATCGTGTTGTGGTAGTGGCACGAGTTGGTGGTTGTTGTCGTGGTATTTGGGGGGAGCGGTGGTGTAGCTGTTAGCGCTATACGATGGACTACGAATCCCGCAACCCGAGTTCGATTCCCGCTCACGGCCAACACCGCCTGTGACGATCATCTGAACCGGTCCTGCGCCTCCCCTAGGTCGACTCGGCCTCAAACGAGCTACCCGGTGCGACGTGCAAACATCGCCACTGGGGAGACAAAGGCGTCCGGGGGACGTGCTGCTGCCCACCACCACCAACCCCCCTCGGCCTTCACAGGTCGCGGCTCGCTGACAGCACTTGCCCCAACATTCCGTGACAGGCTACACGGGGGATCTTTGTCTCTCGGCGCGTGCCTCAGGCCGCGAGGTAGCAGCAGCGGGGGGGGAGAAGGGAGCGGCAAGGGCCACGTCCATTGGGCGGGAACCCCCCGGGGTGAGGGTCGTCGCCTCCCCCCGCGTTGTGTGCACGCGGATACGTGGCCAGCAGCAGCGGCAGCGGCAACAACAGCGGCAGCAGCCTCGTACGTTCAAGCCGCACATCGCCAATTCAATTTCGCCAAGCAAGCAGCAGAGAGCAAGAGAAGCCGAGATTCCCCGACCCCCTTCCCTCGCGTTCCCCACACACCCACACACCCAGCTGAAAGGCGGTCGCCGAATTTCCCTTTCGTTTAACTTTTTTTTGTGTTCGCCTCGCAGCGCGCGACGGCCTCCGGCGGCGGCGACGACGCCGCCGCGTCCATGTCGCGCTCTGCCGGGCAAGGCGCCTGCCGCTCGGTAGGCGCCGCTAGCCGAGGCGGCGTGTACCCCGAACGCATCGACGGCGGCCTTCATCTCGCCGCCGCCGCACGTTTCGTGATCCCTTCTCTCGCCCACCGACGATGAGCCCAGGGGAACGCTGCGCGGACGAGAGGACAACGACGAGGCCGGGAGCTGCGTCGCGGACGGTGTCAAGTTGGTCGAGGCGTGAATTCGCGAGGTTTATGCGAGCGGCCGGGCTGGCCGGGCGAGACCGCATTGTGAAAGGGGGGTGTGGGTGGCGCGTCAAGTCCAGGCTGCTCTCTTCAAGGCTGTTTATTAATCGATATTGTTTGTTAATCTAACTACATAAGTGGGCGCGCTCAATGCTCGCCAGAGTCTGCACAGCTGCCGCGCGCGAGACGCACGCACCCCGAATTGGGACGCCTCTAGACGCGCAGCAACAACAACAACAACCAACGACGATGGTACCTCGGGCTACATTCCAAACACACATTGATGGCATCGGCCAACTTTCGCAATACAGGATGGAACTGAAAACGTATTAAGGGCTCTCAGAGGCTCCTGTGGATAGATAAGGGGGGGGGGGGGGGCACTGTCATTGTTTGTGTTCGTTTATTATTACGATGCTAGTGTCAGAGAGGGCAGCCTCTGCACTCTCATGGGCTCTCCGATCATTCCTGCGGCTGCCACTGCTGAGCCACGCCGTGGAGCGGCTGACGGCGGGACCGTCGGAGCCCCAACACCACCACCAACAACACCACCAGGAGGAGGTCGGCGGCGATGGGGTGATGATGCTGGCGCCGTCGCCCCAGGGGGACAAGGATTGCGCGGGCACGGCGCAGGAGGATGGCACGCAGGTGGTGCTGGTGCCGGAGCAGGAGAAGAGAGACACCCGGGGCAGCAGCGCCCTCCTGGGCTACGTGAGGCCGTGCGCGCTGGGCTGCGCCGCGTCCCTCCTCTGCCTCGGCGGCCTCCTGGCCGTGCGCGTCTACGTGATGCGAGACCTACTCGAGTGGCTCCAGGAGGTGGACATGGCCGCTGGGACGCTGCTGTTCGTGCTGGGCTTCGTCCTCGTGTCCTTCCCCTGGGGCTGGGGCTACATCGTGCTCAACGTCGCCGCCGGGTACCTCTACGGGTTCCTGCTCGGCCTGGCGCTCGTCGCCGCCGGGGTGCTCATCGGGACGTTCGTGGCGCACGTCGGCTGCCGCCGGTGGCTTGAGGGCTATGCCGCGGCGAGGTTGAGGTCCAGCGGCACCATGAGCGCGGTCATCAGGGTGCTGGAGGGCGGAGGCGGCCTCAGGGTCATTGCCCTGGCAAGGCTCACGCCAATCCCTTTCGGCCTGCAGAATGCTGTGTTCGCGGTAATTGTAACAGAGCTGTAGCATGTCCCGTTGTTCGCTTGTTTGGGATTTCTGTGTTTATATTTTACTTTTGGGTATTTGGCAATGGTGGCCAACAATGAAGATGATTCATTACTTTGTGGGTTGTTATGTAGGTGAGAGCTGGCAAGCTGCTTGAAATTTTAAAATAAATTGTGTGTACCCGTAACCAAATATGCACTGAGAATTCAAATTTGTATTGGTATAAATTCTGCATTCCGATTGTGGAGAACAGTCTATACATAGAATAACCACTGTTGACATCCCATAAAGTGGTACCTAATTTATTGGTGCTGGAGGGGTGATAGGCTGACTTTTCCTTCCCCTGGAATTTGCCACGACCTAACAGTCAGTTGGGTACTCTTAGTTTTTATTTAAATGGGGTGAAGAGATGCATACATTTTCCTGGAATCCGCAGCATGTCCCCAAGGCTTTACAGTCAATTGATGGATGAAAACAGTCGAGTTAACACATTGGCATGAGGGGCAAACTAGTGTGTCCTTCCTTTACCTTTAGGTGCCATAAATGAGTCTGTGCCACATCTTATACCTTACGTTTTAAGTCTCAGCCAAGGTGTCTTTCGTGTAACTCTGTTCATGCCCTTGTTGTGTGTGGAAACAAGTCTTTCAAGGGAAAATCCACACTTATGGGAGGATAACACTGAAATTCCATAAACGAAATATACTGCAGTACTGTTTCTGGGTCCATTACTGTATTTTATGTTCACCATTAATCATTACTGCATGCTGCTGTGTGCATGCAGGTCAGCCGCGTGCCTACCCCCAGCTACCTGATTGCCTCGTCACTGGGACTGCTGCCCACGCAGATCCTCAACTCATACCTGGGCACCACGCTGCGGACTATGGAAGATGTCATGTCGCAGCAGACTCTGGGTGGATACGTCATATTTCTCCTTCAGGTACTGCATAACGTTGCTCCGTTAATTATGCCGGACTTGCAACAATTATGTTGGGAGATGTGTTTTGCAAAATAAAGCTTAAAATTGGTTATCCAATGTGGTTTTGGGGCATGCTGCGTGTTTGGCATGTTGGGCGACGTTTTGCTCTACGTCCTGGGAGCTTCTTTAGAAACCGTATATATGCCAAATAGCACTTGGTACAACCCAAAAACACATCAGAGAGCTATACAGCACGTCCTCGAAAACATACGCAGTAGTGACACTGTATATTGGGAACAAATGAAATGTAAAGTTGGATATCATACTTTAATGTGTTGGATAAGTTGACATGTCCATTGGCGAGAGTGGGTACAATTTTGAGTATGCTTTGCTTTTGATCCATCGTGGAACTGTTTTGCTAATTCGTTGGCAAATACAGCAGGAATCTAATAATTTGCGTAGATATGGGGGAACGTATAGTGGATCCTGTAATTTGCGGCACACCGTGGAGGTTAGACCAAATAGTCTGAAAAATATCTTCCTGCCCACATGGTGTGCCATGGATTATGAGAGGATAGAGCTGCAAAATGTCATTATTGGGAAAAATATATTGTGGATTACAAGGGGAGTGCGGAATGTAATTAGTATTATAATTGAATGGATGACAAGGTAATGTCTTTTTTTATCTTCGACCCAAATGTCAAAAATCTGCCATATTCGTCAATGTGAAAGGATTTTTTTAAGACTATGAAGCCAAGTAAAAAAAATTGCAAAAATATTTTTCTATCAATATAAATTACGTCACCGTAGCTAGTCCTATGCAAATGCAGAACAAACAATTCTTGCTCTTTGGGTCTTTTGGTAAAGTCACATAGATAGAAAAATAATAAAATAGAAAAATAATACAATAACAATATTAATATTTTATTATATTTCTATCTACATGACTTTACCGAAAGACCCAAAGGGTGAATTCCTGCAGTCACGAAAGCTTTAAGTCAAAACAATTATTGCCACCGTATTTCCCTGCAGCTCTGCTCCTGCAGCTCTGGGTTAGTCTTGCCCTCTCTTACAGGTAGTGGTTTGCAGTCTACGATCTGCTCCGGTCACGAGCAGTCGTGAATTACAAGGATTCGCGGATTATTGGATCGCAGATTTTTTGATTTCTGCTGTTTCTTCATGAAGCTAACCAAAGAAGCAATTATGGGTCTGCCCTTGCTAGCAAAGCAGACTCAACATTGGAAAAGTGATTCCGTGGCCTGGACCAATCTTACTTCCAATCGCAGTTAATTTAAACTACACCATTTTGTTGCAGCAAAATGGTGTAGCTTAAATTAAGTGTGTTTGAAAAAAAAAAGTTAAACAATGTAGTAATAATGTACAGCATATTGTCAATCCACTGCTGGATGAAGGCTTCCCCATGCCACGTTGCTCGTGTGGGTTGTTTGACACAAATTCACCACACTGGTCAGTGTAGTTTGGTAAATGGGGTGGGGGGGTGGGGTTGCCAGGGTGGGTTCAGATATCACTCGCCACTGATGTTGGCTGTAGCCATAAATCAAACTCAGGTTGCTGGCTTCAAAATGCTGCGTGATAACCACTCTGTGCTACTCGACTCTCAGTAAAATACAAGTATATAATATCAATTTTGCACGATGTTAAGTGAACATGCTTGCTTCTATGTTTCATGGTCAATGCCACAGTTAACATAGCCAGTTGTTTTAAGCAGTTTATAAGGTGGTCACAAGTCACCACCTGCTTCTAAGTATTGTCATGCTCAGCATCCGTGATCTATTAAGTAGCATGGCCTTGTTATGTCCCTTTCATCTTGAAGCTACTTAAGCGTGTTTGACACTGGTGCCCTTGAATCTCCAGATGCCTGGAGACATTGCATATTAAATATATGCGCTCATTACTGCTATTTATTTTATTTTATATCTCCTCTTACGTGAAAAATTTGTATCTAAAAATTAGATGATGCTGGTATTGTCGTCGGTGGCTAATTCTAAGAAAATCACAACAAATAACCAAGCTATAATGTGATACACAATACAGAACAAAAGCATAAGAACATAAATAATATAAATAGTGCACTGGATATATTCATTAAAATAAAACAATTATTAAAGATTACATACTTTGTACATTTAATTTATATTTGTTATACTAAATGGACATTAAATAATATATGTTCGTATAATGATAATACTGTAAAAATAGTAATAATTAGCAATCCTGTTGTCTATCCACTGCTGAATGAAGGCCTCCTCACTGTCGATTTTTGAGGGATTTTGTTGACCATACTTCACCATATTGATCAGTGAGTGCGGGTTGGTGAAGGTGGGGGGGGGGGTGTTGACCACTCGTGTGAGCTGTGGCCCAAAATCGAACTCGGGTCACTGCACACATATGACGGTGTACAAACCACTGTCTCCGTAACTCCCTCGCCAGCACTAAAAAACATTGCCTCAATTATAAGGCTCTGCCTATCGTTTGAGCGCTAACCACGATACGTACACGTGCCGACCCAACAGCTGTTAATCAGCGTGGGCCTCATGCTGTACGTGGTGCGGAGGGCCCGCCGGGAGCTCAACGAGGCCATTGCGGCCTGTCAGTCTGACCAGAGTGAGGACTCGCGACCCCTCGACTGCACTTCCGGCAACGGTGGCGGCTCGTATGGTACCCAGCGGCTGGGGCTCTCCTACACCGATCAGCAGAACGTGTAGCCCGTGCAAGTGCCGCACCTCCGATGATCACGGTTGGCTACGTACGGTGCGAAAGAAGTTGAGCATGCATACGTAAATACGAAGTTACCCACCAATTCCCGTTAAGGGACGTGAGACATGTGAAAACACAGCCAAGGCTCGGAGAAATGGCGGCGAAGCAGCTGCACTTATTGACCTGTTAACTGCGATCTGCTTTCTGAATCGGTGGTGATGCTTTGTGTGCGTGTGTTCTGACCATCTCTTAAGGCAGGGCTATCAGCAAAAACTGTTGATAAAAAGTATTTAAGGGAGAAGTATTTAGCAAGTGCACCGATATCAGTTTGCCGTTGTAATAAATGAATATTGTAATTCCTTTGCAGACATTGCAGCCCAAGTGACTTTCTATTATTTGTTGGGTAATTATTTGAAAAGAAAAATTCTATGGCAATGCAAATGTTTACATGTAAATGTTCATATTAAGATGTAATGTTTAGTAGTTTTGTTCAACTTCATTATTTGGGTGTGCAAAGTTCAAGTCTGTTCAAAAAGAGATCTTAACCCTCTTGTGGATAACTACAGTAGTATTAATGTGATAAGTGAACTGTTGTCTTCAGCTTCAAAAACAAATGTTGGTTACATATCTCGGCTATTATTACTTATGCCTTGTCACCTAATTTATATATGATGAATACTCTATATATTTGAGCTTCTTGATGAACGTATAAAATAGTCACGACAAAATTTGATCAGGTATATACAAACTGGTGATCATATATATTTTTACATGTTTGTTTTACCTCTAAGCTTTGTATGGAAAAATTACTTAACAGTGAAAAAAAAATCCATACACATTATTCTACCATCAGCAGATGAAAATAGCACTGCAAGATGCCTCTGCAGTGGGCAATGCAGCCAGAGGTGAGAAAAGATGGTAAAAGTTGCTCATGTTTCGGACATGGGCCAAACATAGGCTTATCTGTCCTTTCGGCCGGCATTTCCCACTGCAGAAGCGTCTTGCAGTGCTAGTTTCATTTTGTTTTCTGCACCTCGTCTTAAAGTGTTTTCTCATACCAAAAGCTATTATGCTAGGATAACTGCCATAGTGTAATGATTAGCACACTGGAATTGCAATCCAGAGGCCACCGGTTTGATCTCCTGGTGTGGCTGTTGAAACAAGTAGTTCAAACTCCCCCCCACCTCTATCCACCCAGCAGCCTAAATGGGTACACCGCAGGCGATGTGTGGTGGGGTATAGTGTGGATACTCCCACCTCTTACAAGATGTCTGGCCAACGTGAAAGAGTAGGCCAAAATACCCTGGAGTGGAAGCCCTTCCTCCAGCAGTGACTTGAGCAAACGGTTGCAAGGCCACACTTTTACCGCAATTTATTAACATTACCATCGTGTGGTTGTTGACAAATCTATTAATTAAATCTGAGCTTATATTTGTATTGCCTTGAAAAAGGCTTAGTTCGAAGTATGCTAATTAAGGTGCATGCCTGTTAATTTAATAAAAAAATACCTAAAGATTATTAGCATGTTTGACTTAATAATCGTATTAGATCCTGCATTACTTAGCAATTGGCACTTCAATAATGTGGTGTATTATACTCCAGGAGAATGTACATGCAAAAAGCCATTATTGTTGATGTCATAATGAAGCCCCGATGTCGGCTCTACATGATTTATTTGCTAGTGTACATAATCTAGTCAACGTTTCAGCCTCTTATTTACGTTTGCCCCATGTGCACAGATTGCATCACCATTTGTATGAGGAGCTCAACGTGAAAACTGCTTGTTAAAAAAATTGCATTTTTTTTCGAAGCAGGCACCTTCTGTACACTCAATTGCAAAATGTAAACTGTTTAAAATGTCCCATTGTTTGCCATCGCAGGAGACCGTTTTGATTTTACGGCAAGACATGATGGAGCAGTTCGTCTCCGAAATACAACATTAATGTTCCCGTGTAACGTTCTTTAACTAACCTCTCATCCCAAGACTATTTTTTTTGTTCTCAATTTACTGTCAGAATGTTTACCGAATGCGTGCAGCTTGTGGCCTTAACTTTAAGTTTGGCTTCACGCATGAGCGTGTGTATTAATTGTAGAGTGTGTAAGGAGTATATGAGTGGAAAGTACCTTTTCAAATCCAAATTATCAGGGCATAAAATCATCTAAGCTATTTCTACACGTTCTCTAAAGTTGGGTGGTAATTATGCAGAATGGTACCTACAAAATGACCAATTACTATATAATAAATGGTCATATGATAGTGCACATCTGAGGCAAATTGTCTACATTTAGTGCCCAACATTCCAGGGAATAAGTTATTTTAGATGAGGGATTGTGTTTTTTTAGGTTCTTTGAAAAATATTATCACTTTCTTCCACATTATACCTGTTAATTTATGTATTCCATAAAACTGTAGTTGAAAAAGTACTTAGAAAATATTTGAATTCCATCTTCTCACCATTAGCAATGAACATTTTTAACTGTAAATTATACTTTACGATCAGGTTTTCCCAACCAATTTCAAGATTCATAAATGATTTCTGGGTAGATTGCTCAATTTTCACAATCAAATTTATCCATAAGAGTCTCAGTTGTGGGAATTGTTCTTCAACTTACCGGTGATATATAACAATAATTGGCATGTGTAACGCTTGTACACGTAACAATCTAATATATTTTTGGCTGTGTTGGGTGGTGGAGGGTCTCATCCACACAAATGTAGCCAGATCATAACATGGCCTCACCAAAAAAGTTATGCTTTTTAAATTATGCTGTGTATATAACAATGTTATCATAACAGCAGCTGCCTTGAGTAATAGGTATGAAGAATCTGTAAAAATTGTCTTGCAGTGAAATTTGGCACACCTTACTGGATGGTAATAAAAATCGGTTTAGACATATGGAGCCTTGTTTTTACGAGATGTTTTATGACAAGAAGATAACATTTCTCTGCATTCTCAGCTGGCTCTATCGAAATTATTTGATTGTTTTTGCAGGACAAATATATTCCTAAAATGCCACTGACATTTCCCCTCCTGACTTCTTCAAAGTGTCATTGTAACAAAATAAATCCTAGATTCCTAGAACATTTAAACCGATTAAGTAAGTCATTGTAACATATAGCAGGTCTGACAAGTTATAAAATGTCATTCTCTTTGGGCCTTGTTTTCATTTCTCAAAGCTTGTTTAAATATAAATGTTCTGTACCCGGAATAGACACATTCGACTTGCATACGCACACAGGTTTGCACCACCACGATTAAATGTTGAAGGTCATGGAAGGTGGTGAGGATTAAAGATTGTGATTTTTTCTTTATTTTGACATTTGCACAGGAAGGAAGATGTGCTTCACCTACATTCATACAAAACCATACCTGTTTTTTTTCCTTTTGTTTATTCAAACTATACTTGAGACGATATACTTTTGATGAGTAAATAATAATTCTGTAGTCCTTTATCTATTTAGTAATACGGTATATGTAACGGTCTGTGTAAATATAAAACCTACATTTCAAGGGTGGGACTACATGTTTTGTGTAACGTTCGTCAATATAATTGATTCTTTTTGGCGGGGGGGGGGGGGGGACTTGCAAATATTGTGGGGGTAAAAAAAACATTTTATTTATTTTGTCTTTATGGACATTAATGTTTGTTTTTCTTTGTGGTGTAGTATATTAAGTTTATCGCAAATTGAGGGTGTTACAGTATACTGTACAGTTTGATTCTCATTTATGTAATGCAAACCTCTTTTTGAAAAGGTTCCATTGCTTGCGGTGTCAATGACGAGATGGAACGGTGACGTTTGAACAACCAAATTACAGAGAAAACCACATGAAATACTTTGTTTTCCCCATACACACTCCAGGTTCTGCAAGTGTCCACGTGTTATAAAATACTCGGGTGCGTTCTCATGTTGTTCTGATGCAATCGGTTTGTCAATGTCAACTAATGATGCTTGTATTGAATCTCACCTGTGACAATTCTTATTCGAATATTTCATGTTGTATGTAATGGCTTTTCATGACTGCTATGGGCCACTCAATGTGAAAAAAGTATTGATTATTGAATTTAATCGCTACCTTCACGTGCAGCGACGAACTGAATTGTCATGAGGGGGGAATGGTTACTCTGGTGTATATACCCTATAAATAGTGCTCAGAAAATACTTTAGTGGTCGTTTTACAGTACATCCCTAAGGGCAGGCACTAAAATGTCACTTTTTTTTTAAAGCCACTGATTTCCATTGGTCCTCCATATGTGTTGGTAAACGTGGCAGATCTATATTTATATATACCATTACCTGTACACCTTCGGAATAAGATTTTTTTCATAGCTCATAAGTTAATGCTATGCACATCTTGAAACATGCAAAAGAGTGTTTGCTCGTGTGGCGTACTCTTATTGTGTTTTAACTGTGTGCCACACAGTTGCTGCCGCTTGGTATGTGCGCAATAACCAAGTGGTGTACATGCGCCCTCGCTAAGGGCACCACAACCCCCTTGGAATTGTATTCAGCTCATTGCTCACCATACCACTGTATCGGTTTCCCGCGCTTTATGCGGATTCAGTTTGTGCGATTTCGTGCACATGCGGCAGACCAATTTCTACCCAAAACTCGCTCCGTGTGATTTGAATTCGCTCATATGTGGCGAAGCGGTCGGACGCGGGACAACATTGTGTGTCGTGTGTTCGCCGCTGGGCAGCCAGCTGTCTTGTGTGGTCTTGGTATGTGCCCCATGTTTTTTGCAACATCTACCGCGCAAAGCGAGGAAAAGCTATATAAGAAGGTGTGTGAATGGTTCAAACATGGTTGGTTTTTGTGTTTAGTTGTCCAACCCCCGCACCTCCGAATATCACGGTTGGCTACGTACGGTGCTTAAGAAGTTCCAAATACATATGTAATGACGACTTGACACTTCTCTTGAGATGGCACTTTATTGAAGACACGTTCACTTGACATCAGAGCGAAACCCCACTGCAACTGCCCTGAGTCTCCCACGCATCTCCTTTATATACCAACCGAGGCCACGCCCCCCTTCCGGAACCTTCTCGCTGACTCTGGACGCTCGCTCCACCAGCAGACTCCACCGTCCTCTTCCATCACCTGACCACGCTCCCTTCTCGATCATTCCAGTAGCCACCAGTCCCTTCGCACTCACAACTGATACCCCTGTCATTACCTCCCGTGGCCACTAGTGCATTCGCACTGTAGGCTGACTCCCCTGTCATTACCTCCCATGGCCACTAGTCCACTCACGCCGCATGTAGGCGCTACTGTCTTTACACATATACATACGAACAATAAACGTGATGCGATTGTCCCTTGTGCATCAAGCGGAACTGGTATTTCATCACCGTTGAGCAGGTTATTTAGTGGTTTAATCTGGAAAATCAAATGCGAGACGTGGTATCTGATTAAATGTTAACATACTCACCGGCTGGTATTGGTACATTTCTGTAATTTCGACAGCAAACTCCGTTCTGTTGAACTTAACTCGTGCCCCGACTTTTGCCACAGCAACATGTATGTGCATGTACGGTGCAATGTTAGCCTTGCAGGCCACGAGAGATATGTGTTTGTACTTCATCATGCTTGGCAAAGGTGCGGGAGTGCAGAACAATGAGTGTTGCTATACTGTCCTCGACTGCCTCCGGCCTATTACGTCTTTATTTTTGAGCGCATGCTGACTACCCCTCCAAGCACTTAGCTTTCAAGATCAGCTGAAATCTGGGTGCATTCCATGTGATTTGATCATCGGCTGCCTTGCTTATAATTTATGTAATGTTATTGGAAATGTATCGCCTGCCGTTGGTTGTACATGTACATGGTGGTTCAGATGTGTTGTGACCCCCGTTTAATTATCGAAAACGTAATATTGTTTAAGTAAGGTTTATTTAAAACAAATGAATATGCAAAGGAAAAAATGTTAGCGGTCAATCAATATGGGTCACGAGACATCTGGACCACCCTGTATAACTCCTTTTGGCACTCCACTGGCAGATGAAGGCCTCCTCACACTGCAGGTTATATGGGTCACTTGACCTAACTTCACCATGCTTCTCATTGTGGGTTGGTGAAGGCGGTTAATATAGATGTGGGAGCAATTTAAGTACAGTATAACAATAACTATTGTCTAATTGCTTTCTGTTTCCCAAAACGTAGCCCCGTAGCCTATGACATCTGTTATGATGCATGGGGATCACTTCTCCAAGCACTATCCCCGATTAATCCTGCTTTGCTTCAGAGTTGGGGCGCATTCTAGGTGATTTGGTCACAGGCCAGTGCTGAAAATGCTCACTATTCTAAACACTACAGCTTAGACTCAGATCCTGTTATTTATCACTGGGCATAGTTGTGGTGGGTAAAGGTTAAACCATTTGCGGGACGTGGAGGTTTGGTAAGGGCCTGGTATTTGTTAACGCTAGAGATTGAGCTCTCTTTGCCGTTGACTTGGAAGACAGAAAAGTTACACGTTCAATTTTACAAATATGTGCTTGCCAAATGTGAACTCATCAATATTCAAAGGCTCTTACTCTGTTAATGTACAAAATGTTAAGTGTGAACCAGGCACCTTAATGTTGCATTGCCTGCTATTTATATTTTAAACATTCTGCTTTTTTATTTAAAGCTTTCATGACTGCAGGGATTCATATTCTTGGTTCTTTGGGTAAAGTCACGTAGAAGGGAAACAATAAAATAATACAAATATAAAACAATAAAATTATCACGACGTTTCCACTGCAACACAAGCAATCATCATCAGGTGTGAAACCCACAGCAAGAAAATGTTGCTGTGGTTTTCACACCTGATGATGATTGCTTGTGTTGCAGTCGAAACGTCGTGAGAATTGTATTGTTTTATATTTTTATTATTTTATTGTTTCCCTTCTACGTGACTTTACCGAAAGAACCAAGATTATTCTGCTTTTTATTTAAAAAAAAGTCTGTCTCTTCCAAGTAATGTGCATTTTTCTAAAGGTTTTCACCTAAATGTCAGTTTTGACTATAATGAAACTCTTTTGAACATTATTTGCTTTAAATGTACTCGTCAAATATTTGAGAATACAGCATGGTACTCTTGTTTCATTGCTTTAAAGACCTATAAGTTATCACAATGACAGAAATATTGCGGAAGTGCTGTTTTCTGAAACATTAATTAGGAGAAAAGTTGATGTTTTGTTCACATTAATGTTTTGAGTTCATTGATAGTTCTATAAATGTTTTGGATCTGAATTTATTTAGATACGGGACATTCCATTTTGTCATAGTTAGTACTGTGACAAACTTTCATCACACTAGCAAACCTTGTATTGTGAGTCTTATTAGATGCTCTTCTAATGTGCCTTCTCAGAGCTCCATATATTATGAAAACTCGCATTTCTATCCTTTGATATTGTGATCCCTTTTATAATACAGTCATACAAACAAGTATACTGTTGTGTCTACGTCAGTAAAGTATTCATTAACTGTTTAAAAACGTCATTCACTTGATTATCCTTGTAAATGAGTGCCAAATTACAATGTTTTTGGTTTTGCCTTGTCTGAAAGAAATTTTCCACTGGAATAAAATGTTGTGAACGAAGGTTTAAAATAAATGGAGTATTACAAAATATCTGAGTTTGTCTACAAATATAGTATTTTTGTGTTATTTATCTGAAGTGTTTTATTAATGGAAAGTAGTGGATTCAAGTTCAGGTTTATTTTGTTGAGCTGGGTGAGTACTCAAGATACCAGGATATTCTCATTTGCAAGAGTGACCTGGAGTATTCAATCTGCCAGTAGGGTGTAATTATTGCTATGTATAATCAGACATGTGCAATAGTTTGAACATGTCTGATGATAATAAATTCATTTTAAAAAATGCAGCAAATACAGAATGTGTAAAAAAATATCTTAAAAAATCTATTAACGTCACGTACCGTGTGACGGAAGGCTGCTCTGAAACGGCGTTAAAAAGATCTAGATGGGTTGGAGTTTGCTCAGTGATGACCAGCAGATGTTTTGAGCTGAATTTGCAACAAAATCTCATTTTGTTGAGTGGCTTTTTAAAGACTCATGAAAACACTTAATGATTAATGTATGCGCATGCTTGTATGCTGATTTTATGCTGAATCGCACGCTAAGTTATTAATGCCGCCGTAATGGCACTCATTTGAAAGTAGCCCATGTGGCATATTCTGCGTTATTCTTCTCGCATGTCAATACAGTGCGCAGTGTGATGCCCGAATAAATGGGCTTTATGCATCTTTATAAATGTTATCCAACAGCTTCTTGAGGGTTGAATCATCACAATGGTTCCTTGTGAAAGGAACACCATTTATTTTGCTAATAAGCTGACGGCACAAAACCAACATCATGGTTACTTTCAACAAATGTTATTTGAAATACAGCATTATATTTATTATAAAACTGCCAGTTAATTTGCATATAAGAGGCTATTCTGAGACTATGTACTTCAAAATGGGAAAATGGGTTGCCTTGGTATGGAGATGCTGCAATACATCGTAAGATTTAAGGTCAACGATAATCGTAACTTCTGTTTTGCTAATTATTATGATTGTCGATTTAACTTTTTAAGTATTTAATTTTCACGAAATGTTTACGAAATAATTAAAGTAAAAAGATAGACACCACCCATTAAAAGTGATTTGTAAAACTTTGCCATGCAGATCGCGGCATTATATTACGTCAGATTTGCTGACAGCATGTGCGTTATGAGCGCTATTATATCGTAAAGCAGAATTGGGTCAACTGCAGTTGAACGCTTAAGAAATATATTCGTATTGGAAGCATCTACATCACAACACAGTGATATACGGTAATTGTGAAATGCAAAGTGAAGGGAACAATATTACACGACAATGATCATATCGTGACTTTTAATATCGTATCGTGAATAATCTCGGGGCATCTGTATAAAATGTTGACGAACATGTATGTATTTGAAGTGATTACCTACTAATATACGGATAGCAGGAAGCAGTGCCACCATGCGGTAGCAATGTGTGCTGTAGAAGTAATTCCCGTCGCAAATTCGAATTTACTGGCTAAACCCTATTTTATTCAGAAGATGGAGGACCTCATTGGTAACGTGCCATGTAACTGAATTCAACCCAAGGATAAATATGCGCTTACTATTAATTAAAATTGCAAGCCTTTATATGAGAAAGCTTTACTTAAAAAAAATCGGGAGCAGCCTGCACTAGGGCGTATATGGCCAGTTGCATTCGCGATTGACATGTGGACAGGCAACTCGAGTACTCGGGTAAATCCCACGCATGCGAGGGGAACGATACACTTAGATTTAAGAATTCATTGCCGTACTACCGTCTCTGGGCCACCTTACAGCCCAAGCCCAGCCCTGGTACTCCAAAGCAGTCCACATTCAAATACTATCAAGGCGTATAGTTTTTAGTACACTCGGTAATGTGTGTGTAATATGCAGACGAACGGCCGGGATTTTTTTTTCAATTCACTGATGGATGGGGCTTCCCCTACGTCTTGCAGACAGGGCTAGTGCTAGTGGGTGCTGGGATAGCCACTGCATCACCGAATGTCCCTTGGGCCAACCCAAGTTCACTTTCCTTAGCGGTGATTATCACTGTTACGGTTTCCCCTCCCCCCTACACAGCGTCTCTATTCCCCCACCAACTCAAGAGGAGTTGGAACCAGGCCTGCATGCGGGCCGTGGTGGTTATTTGACCATATTTCACCACAATGATCGTTGGAGATATGCGGAATAATTTATTTCACTGCACTGTTAACCCTCAAGCGTAACCAAGCGTAACCATCAAGTTCCAAAAGTTTTTTTTGTTTTAGCTCCCGAGATTTGGCGCATTCTGGGAGTTTTGGTAAGAGGCAAAAGGGGCCGTCCATAAATGACGTCACGCGATTTTGGACGATTTTTGACCCCCCCCCCTCGTCACACGGCGTCACAAAAACTCAGACCCCCCTCAAATGACGTCACAAAGCTCTGCCCCCCCCCCCCCAAAACCATATTTCAATTTTGAAAATAAAACATGTTTCAGATCGCTTTAAACTATTGTCATTGTAGTGCGTATTTAATGTGGCGCTGCACTCTGTTGTAGGAGAAAACACATTAAAAAGGCGTTGGAAAGCTTAAATTTGGAATAAAATTCACTTGAAAATATTCAACGTCTAACTAAAACTGCAGATGTTCAGAATATTATATTGAAATTATCTTATAATTATAAAATATTAAACGTAATTATAACTATAAAAATACTTGAAACTTTGTAGTAGAACGAAGCAAAATGGAGAGTACAATTATAACAATCATATATTCATTCCACAGAATGAAAATCCCTGGTAAAATCATTACAATAAAAACGTTTAATAACAATCATAAAAAAAATCTAAATGTATGCTTCTCCATTCTCCCATGGAGAAGCAAAATGCTCCATGGAGGACGACCGCTTGTGTTGCGATCGTAACGTTGTGATATATTATTTTTTGTTTTATTACATTTTTCTACCTCCGTGACTTTACCGAAAGAACCAAAGATTACGCATTTAAATAAGTAATTAATGCATTATTTATATTCGGTGACTTGCTGACCATCTTCTCTATTTTGCACTCTTCTCGGGTTTTTTTGTATTGTTTGCCGTTGTTAACTTGAACAACTGCAAATAAAAAAATAAAGAAGAAAAGAGCTTCATAGCTCATCGGATTACTCCTCCAGAGCAGTATAAACAATAGACGCTCGCTCTTGGCGACCGGCACAATAACGAATTAATGAGCACGTGGACACAATGCGCTTCTGGATGACGTCACATCCGGAAGGCAAGGCCCCCGTTTAGTGACGTCACGTCCCGCTCACTCGACGGAGCTGTTGTTTGGAGGCGGGCGCGTTGAGGGGCAGGTAAATTTCCGGCTTCGGTTGTTTTTAAAATAAAAAGTAATCAAATCTTTCTCAGTCGATTTTAAAGCACGTTCGGTGTTGGGGGTGGGGGGGAAGCTTCTGTGAAATCTACGAGAGGTGTTTCGGTAAGAGCCGAAACGCTCGCTTCGCGGTCCTGCCTAGACGAATATCGTCGCATTTTTACATTCCCTACAGCGCTTAAGCGCTCGGCGCCGCATGGGGGCCTTCCGATTGGCTGATCACCCCCCCTGCCCCCGCACGTTCGCGCGCTTAGACCAATCGGAGCGGCGGATTCGACCCCCGCCGGTGTTGCTGTTTATCCAGTCTACGATTTGCGATGTCCGCGTATTGTACTCTCTTAAGAGAGTGGGGAGTGTGTTTTTGGCCTACTCTTCCACGCTCACCGGACCACATCCTCACGATTTAAAAGACGCACCGGAAAAAAAACTGCGATCGGTGTCAATGCACGTGTGAATCTGGTCACGCACACACATCGGTCAGATTATAAGACGCGCCTCTAACTTTTCCTTTTAAATACAGGGAGAAGGGGGGGGTATAATAATTACTCTGAAATACTTTAAACAAATTAATATATACAGTGCGTGTGGAGCGGTGGCGCAGTGGGTAGCGCACTGCGCTACGGGTGACTCAAGTGGCGAGTGGGAAATGATTCCTGGACGGGTCCTGTAACCCCCTCAGCGTGGTGAAGTATAATCTTAATAAAGGTTTTTGGGTTAGATCGCGTATGTTTAAATGTGTCTTAACCCTCCACCACCCGACACAGCCAAGTAAGGTTTGTCGCGTAAACAACGCGCCAATCAGTTTACTATTGCAGCCCGCCCGTGTGGTGGAGAGTAAATCCACAACATTTACAAATTATGGTCAAACAAATCCCCGTCACCGCGGGTCGGCAACCATAATAACAAGAAGAGGAATCATTTTCGAATTCGGTTTAAAAAAAAAAACCTCAGTATTTAAAGAGCCGCGATGCACGTGGATCCGAGACGGTGGACTTTTTTTAAATGTATAAAATATTTTTTAATTCCACATCCTCCCTCACGTCATAATACATTGTAACATCCTGACATTTTGGACGGCATTACCAGTTGCATCGACAGTATCGGGCACACTGGAGACACATCAGAGCAGGCAGGCGGGGAGGAAGGGATTTTCTTTGGAGGAGGGAGGGAGCCCCAGGTTATTGCCCTTCTGGGCTCAGTTATTTAAGACTGTTCTAAGGTTTAGGAATGGACCCCATGCACGTGTTGTATGCTTCGTCCTTGTCTCTGAGCTTATAGCGCAGATGCTGCAGTGCTGAGATTGGGCCTAAAGAATACATCCATTGAGTATGGGGAGGGCGGGGGGGGGAGTTTCGTGATTCTTCCACGTACTCAACAAGATGCTGGTCCCTAATAAATAACGCCACGAAAGCCGTCCTTATAAAGAGCCGCATGCGGTTCTGGAGCAGCCCGCAGCTGGCCGACCCTTGCCCATGACTGACGCGTCGTGAAGAGGCCTTCATCCACCAGTGGATTTTCAAACGGCTGTACATTTTATATATATTATAGTTAGTGTATGCTTATGTTTCTATCGAATATATCGTGGTATCGTTGGGTTGTCTACTGCGATACTTTTATGGAGACGAGTCTCCTCACCATGTTATCAAGGTCATTCATGTCTAAACCAAATATTGGCTATTCTCTTTGGTTCTTTCGGTAAAGTCACGTAGGTAGAAAAATAATAATAGATCACGACGTTTCGATCACCACACAAGCAACCGTCTTCAGGTAGGAGTGAGAAACAGGATGCTGAAACAATCCTTACAAGGACGTCGTCATCTATTATTATTTTTCTGCCCACTTGACTTTACCGAAAGAACCAAAGAGTATGGATTCCTGCAGTCACGAAAGCTTCAAATCAAGATTGGCCATTCTCTTTCCGCTGGTGGACAAAAGCTTTCCATTTCCACTAATTTCAGTGACTGACTTGTACATCACACTGCACTCCCAGCAGAGTAATAATAAGGAATTTGCAGAGATATCACAAACATTCCTATATTGCAGCCATCCCCAGTACTTTATGCATTTCACTGCAGTTGAAACCAATTGTATACAATGTGCATTATTGTATGTTGCATTGTAACTAGCATATAACATAGACAATGTAGGGATGAAAGTACCTCTTCTTTAGCATTCTTCCGAAGTGTAGGTTCTTGGCTTATATGCCCTCCATCCAAGCCCAGTATTGAGATTTCCTCTTCATTATTTCACAATGAAGCTCGCTTATGTTCAGGTCATTGAGCATTCACTTCCTTTTATCTACATCTTGGCCCTTTTACAGCATCCTCGAACTTTAGTCAAGTCTACTCTGCTGACAAATATACTCCAATGTCACTTCTGGATTTGCACCCACGCGGATACTCTTTAGCACGGTTGTGAGCGCTTCCTCATTACAGTATTCTCTTCATGTGAATATTTTTCTCTATTCGATGCCACATCCACATGTAAACACATTTTAGTCTTAGTTTATCTTTTCTCAGTGTACTCGTCTTTCAGTCTTTGTTGATTCCCACCGATCATCCACCAAATGTCACCCTCCCATAGCAATCCTAGCTCTGCTCGCGTTTGAGGATCATCTATCGTCGTCTGGACACCTAAACAACTTCACCTGTGCGGGGAAACCCCAATTTTACGCATCACGATGTTGAGATTCCACAAGAAAATGAGAGTCGTGTGTTTAAACATTGGCGTGGAGAAAGACTGGCCGACCGACACACAAGGCCATGAACAACGTTTGTTGCATTTACCCTATTTTTTGGGTCTTTCGGTAAAGTCACATAGATAGGTTTTTACCCTGTTGCATTTGTGGTTATACCTTCACCTGATGAAGGCCGCTTGTGTTGTGGCCGAAACGTCGTGATTTTTTGTTATTTTACTTTCACCTACGTGGCTTTACCCAATCGAACCAAAGAGTATGGATCCTAGCAGTCACGAAAGCTTTAAATCTAGAATATACCTACAGTTGCCATTAAAAATTACTAAACTAGTCTGTGAGGTGGCGTCTAGAATAAACTAGACAACACCTGTTTGGCCGGTTGTCCATCAAAGTCTGATTTTTGGACTGCTTCCACTTTTAACTGGAAATTTTCATGACTTTTGTTTTCTGCTCTTTTATTCTGAGGCTATCATCCTCTGCCATCTTGTTGAAACCCTTTACCAACCCCTCTAATACTCAGATTAGATTAATTGAATGTATTGCTGATTCATAAATACCCCAGTTTATTTATCTTATTGCTATTAGTTATTGCTATGCTTGTTTCAGGATGGTTCTAACACGTTTTCACAGGAGGGGCGATGTTGCAATGTGTAATCCCAATTCAGAAATTTGTAGTTAATTTCCCCACAATTCCCACACTTCTGCACTATCCCAACTCCACTGGTTCCCTGCCTACTATCGCTGTTTTTTTTAAAATTTCTCACTCTACAAACCCTTCCACGGTCTTACCGCACCATATCTTGCTTAACTGATATATCATACGATGTCCCACCCCGTCCTCTACGCTTCCAATCGCCACACTCCATCTCTGTGCCTCCCTCGCCCTGCGCCCAGTCTCGCTTTCATTCCTTTTCCCTTCTCGCTCCCCTTGACTGGAACCAACTCCCAACGCACATAAACAATCGTCTTCATCGACCTGCTTCCATTCATCCATTAAAACAACCCCCATCTCTTCTCCCTTGCCCATCCTACTGCTACTCCCTGCCCTGGCCCCCCAGCTATGACCAAGCCTACCCCAATCCCTGTCACTACCCCAACCCCTCCTTAACCATTCCCACCTGTCCTTTCACCATAACTACACCACCGCTTTTAATAACCCCACATTTTATTTTAACCACAATCATGGCATGTACAACTTTAAAATTATTGTAAAACGCCTTGGATTAAGTAGCTATATAAATCTATATAAGATAATACCCAAACCAGTCACATTGTATGCTTTTTTTAGCAATCAATACTATGTGCACTGTAGCGTGATAAGTACCTTTTGACTTGGCCTTCTGAGAGTAACCTACCTATTCTCAATCTCAAGTGTAGAAAAGGGTCATTTTATACTACAGTGTGTATTGAGAATGCATTCCATACATATTTTTACGACTTGCTTTTTTTTTCACGTGGCAGATTTTGCATACATGTCTCATGATGTAATGTATTCCGTTCACAACTAGTTACATTTATGGGAAATGTAGATTTCCACACAGGTTTTGGAACTATTTGTTTAAGCACATTTACAGTGTGTACGCAGGTGTGTCTATGTTTGCACTCTCTGACTTTATTTTCATGAACAGACTGACATCACAAACTCTGCATTTCTGTGCTGCTGCAGATCCAGAAATGGCACTGGAACAGCCCCTGGATCTGTCGGGCATTTCCCAACAAAGTGAAGACAGCTCAAATTCGGAAGAGGCCAGCACTCCCACGCAACACTGCGAGAGGGCTGCCCCCCTCATGCCGGTGCAGCCTTCCGAGGTGGGCGGCAGTGTCGTGACCACAGAGCAGGAGCGAGACAATCGAGTTGTCGCTGACAATGGGGGGTGCGCGGGGCGGGCCGCTGGTGATGAAGGAAGCACCCCCGCGATGAAGGAGGAGTGGCAGGGCACCTTCACGGACAACGGGACACAAGGGTGCACCACCACTACTCGCCAGAGGGAGTGTGGTGGTGTCCCTGAAGGGGAGAGAGAACAAAGGAGTGACTTTTCCAATCTTGAAATGAGGGAAGGCACATGGACACCGTGTACAGAAGATGAGAGGAGCAGCAGTGATACAGCGGCAGAGCAGACAAGTGGAAGCTTTTCGTCAGGGCATGGAAGTCAGGAGGTTTCTCTTAGCAGCAGCCAGACGCAAGATGAGGATGGCGCACAAGAGGGACAAGGAGTGGACGGTGCTGGGGAGAGTAATGTACTGCGGGGCACTGGGGACAATGCCTTGCCCAAGCCAGGAGAGAGTGGCGGCCCCAATTGCACAGAGCTGCAGCGCATTTTGACAAAGGGTGCTAGTGACGAAGCCAGAGGCACCGTGGAGCAGGCGGGGAACAGCGCAGCAGACTTGAAGAGCAACACCCCCTTGGACTTCTCTGTGAGTAACAGCCATTGCGGTGGCGAAGTGGCTTCGGCAAAGGCAGAAAGGGAACAAGAAAGCACAGAAGCTATTGATACACACACGGACGGTGTTCCGTTGGAACAATTCGGCCTAGCAGAGAAACAGATTGATTCTGCAATGAAAGCTGAGGCAGCAGCGGATGGTGCAGAGTTGACTGCACCACTTTCTGTGACAGTTGTGCAGGCGAGTGAAGCTAAGCCTGGTGGGAGCATGCTGAAAAGTAGATTTGCTGGACAGTTCCACGTGGCGTTCACATGCAGTGCCTGCGAAGCAGGGTTCAGCTCGGTGGTGGAACTGACAGCACACGTTTCTTGTCATGCTGGTCTCTGGCCCGTTAAGTGTGAATTCTGCGTTCGTCTCTTCCGCTCTCCGCAAAACCTCTCAAGCCACCGGGCATCGGCGCACGGTGTGCCCTGCACGCCCCGTGGAAACACGAGTTCCCTCCGTTGCCCTCTCTGCCCCAAGAAATTTGCCTTTCCCACGAGCCTGAAGCGTCATCAGGAAGAGGTGCACCCAAAATTGGGCGCTCATGAATCTGATGGTGAGAATGTGTCAGAAGGACAAGAGCTTTCGGCTAATGGTGCCGGAGGTGGACGTGAAGTTGACGAATATGAGGAGCTCAGCTGGCTAAGACCACAGAATTTCACGGACCCAGCAAAGGCAAAGATGTGGTTCTCCTCAACGCAGATCCTCGCAATGAGTCAGGTGGAGAAAAACGAGGATGACAAGCGGAAAAGTACACGGCTCTCGTTGGCTTTCAAAGAGAGAAAAAGCAGTTTGGAGAATAACCTCACAGCGACGTTGAAGTTGCTGGCAGAAGGCGAGCATCTGCTGAGCCCCGATGTTCATTTAGCGAAGATGGACGGGAGCAGCGCTCGCTACCCGACGTTCCGTCCGCCTCCCTTCCGCTATAACCGTTCCGCGGAAGGTGGGAAGGTGGGGGGAGCAAGCAGCGGCGCAGCATCCACGGCGAGCCCAGCGGGTGCCACGGTGGGAACTGCGGTGCCAGGCATGGCCACAGCAACTCCGGGTGTACGGGTGGCACGCATCCCTCACTCCTTCTCGAGCCCAATCACGTGCACCAAGTGCGGCACCGGCTTTTTGGAGCTGGCCTTGCTGCGTTCGCACGTGCGGGCGTGTGTCAACGTGCGCGTCCGCCGCCGATACACCCCACGCAAGCAGTCGGCGGCAAGTGACAGCGCAAGCTCCGTGGATGACCAAGGTAGCCCTCAAAGGGGGTACAATAAGAGCAGCGGCAGCAAGGCGAGTGGCAGCGCCGGTTTTATGCCAAAGCAAAAGGTTAAATTAAGCGCCCAGGACAGGGCCTCGTCTGAGAAAGTGAAGAGGAGACCTCCCGGCTCAGCCAAAGTGGACGGGGCAAGTTCCTCCCAGAAACTGCCCTGTTGCCCATACTGTAAGCGAGCCTTCACCTACCTGGGCAGCCTGAGCAAGCACGTGGCCTTCGGATGCATCAAGAGGGGGGAAAAGGTGCGTGTAAGCAAAATCGGCAGCAACACCAATCGCTTAAGCAGTAAAAAATCAAATAAAAACGCTAACAGTGATAAAAATAAGAGCAGTAAACATCTGCGACAGCACCTGACCTCGACAACGCGGCCAAGTGCGAACATTTTTCAAAAGGCTTTGCCGGCAACGCAGCAAGGAAAATCACAGGCTTCAACGCCGGGCAGCGACCGGTCCTCGGCGGAAGGAGCCTCTCTGCGGGTGGACAAATGGGCGTCCACCACCCCCACCACTGATGAAGATGAGGACGCAGACGAGGTGCGCTTGTTCAAGAAGCGTGGCCGCCCCCCTAAGTCACGGGCGGACGGCGCGTCTTCGAGCTCCCACAGCTCCCCGCGGAATCAGTCTCCATCACGCACGGCCGCCACCGGCGCCCCCTGGATCCCACCACACTCAAAGGCGCAAGACCGCGGCTTCAAGCGCAAGCAGTCGGCGGGAGAAAGGGAGGAGAGCGCCCATCGGGGAGAAAGAGGGCCGCCGTGGCCAGAGCGGGTGTCCGTGAAGAGAAAGTACTCTTCCCCGGCTGCAAATGTAGACAAAGACGTCAAGAGGAAACACAGCTCGGGAGAATCTATTAAGGTGTCCGATTCAAGAGAATCCGCATTTTAACTGGTTTGCTAATTTTACTTTGACTAATATGATAAGGTGGTTAACATCCGTAGTTACTTAACATCTGTAATAGGTTTTTAGGTTGTTAAGTGCACTAGTTATGCATTGTGGCTTGTGAATAAGATATCAAGTTATGTCGACTGTGTAATGGGCTTAAAGCCTTTAACAAAATCTAAAAGGCTAGCCTTTTGCCCGTCCAAGGACAGGTGTATTGCAGTAGATCTGAAACTTGCAAGCGAAAAGCAGACCACGATGTGATATTAATTGCATTAATGCGCGTGCAATTTCTAAGGTGACACAGACCTATTTAATTTCAAGGTTATAATCCCTTGTTCACCATGACATTCTTTTTAGTTCTATGTCTCAATATCGTTACGGAGATCGCGTGACGTGAGGGTTCTTGCCCACTAATTATGAATGGGGGGGGGGGGTCTATTTGGAGGACGTCACCTGCTCATGAATATTAATGAGGGGGGCTGGTCGATGGGGAGTGACATCACCAGCGGTAAGGACATTACTGGGTGATTATAGTAGTTATATGGGGAAAAGTTTCTTCAGTTTCACTTGAAAGCAAGAGAGACTTTTATTTTACACTTGTTGCCACTGTCAAAGTTGGAACTTCTGTTACAAGTGAACATGATAATCTTGATTTGAAGCTTTCGTGACTGCAGGAATCCATACTCTTTTGTTATTTCGGTAAAGTCACGTAGATACTATCCACATAGATACTATTTACGTAGATAGTACAGTATCTAGGTGATACTATCTACGTAGGGGGGTGTAGACAGTATCTACGTAGATACTGTGGTCACATAGATACTATCTAGGTAGATAGTATCTCTATCTAGGTAGATAGTATCTCAATTGTATCTAGATAGATAGTATCTACGTAGATATCTAGATAGTATCTCTACGTAGATATAGTATCTACGTAGATATAGTATCTACGTAGATATAGATATAGTATCTACGTAGATAGTAGATAGTATCTACGTAGATAGTAGATAGTATCTATCTACGTAGATAGTATCTACGTGACCACAGTATGAACATAAGTAAACTTTTTAAAAGCATTAATGGGAAAAGCCTGCTTACAGATAATTTCTATTTTCTTAAATTAGTGTTTTTTAAAACACGTACATTTCCTTTACCGCATTGCCAAAGTGTGCGTTTAAGGCACTCCGGCTCTCACCAGACAACAACAAAAATGAGAAGAGTGCTTTGTTATTTTAGGGATGTAGCCACTAATTCGTGTCGTGTGCACTTAAAATGGGTACAAACAAGTGTGTGAAATCAATTTAGACTATTCTGCAAACATTTTTTTTTGCCAATTGATGTTTAGTAATTGGTCAGGTTTGGCTTTTTGTTGTGTCTTTTTGTTTTCTTGGTTGATATGACTAGTTATCATCGCATCATGCAAAAGTATGAACGAAAGTAATAGTCCATAATCGAGTTTTTTTTGGGGTTAGATCGCATAAAAATAAATGTATCATTAAACCCGCCACCACCTGACACAGCCAATTAGTAAGGGTTGTCACGTAAACAAAACATTCCAATTCGTTCCTAGTACAGCACACCGGTGTGTTGGAGAGTAAACCCACAATATTTACAATTCGAGTACGACGTTTAGCCAGTAATTACAACTAGCATCATCAGGGGACAGCCAGATTTGTGGATAAATTCTGTTTCGGTCTTAAACGACACATTTATATTTACGCGTTATAACCCCAAAAAAGACCTTGTGGATAATATTGGTTGCGAAAACCTACACATTAAATAGTCATATGGAGAAAGTTATCGTTTTTTTTAATTCGTAGACATGATGGTATACATTCGTGTCAGTTATTGTCTTCACAGTATAGAACTAAGAGTGGTGCATACAGCCACAGGTGGATACGCAAAAACAAGAATATGCTGTCAAAATCGCTGCAACCAGTATACTATAACTGGTCAAAGAATGCCAATATTTCTTCAACCTGTAAAATCATTTTTAAACACTCATTAAGTGTTGCTGTGGAGTATCTGGGTTATTAAACAAAACAACCCCCTTTACGTTGCTTATGAACAAAATAGAGTTTGAGTTGCTTTTATTACGAGTACTCTCCCCAATTTAAGATGCTCCGGGAAGTAAGACGCACCCCGAGGCATGTGTCCGGTGTCAACGTTCTACAAATCTGGTCACGAACGCAAAGGCACACACACCTACAGTCACTCCTCGCTTAACGTCGGGTTTACGTTCCTGGACAATGCGACTTTTAAGTGAAATAGCGTGAAGCAAAACCTATTTTCACGTAAGAAACGATGTAAAAAGGGGAGGTTATGTTCCTGGGAAATGTCCTATCACACTTGTATTAGTTGTTTTCCTGTACACTTGAGCACTGGGCTCCCTGCTTGTTTGTATCAGCCTCACAAAAAATGGCCATGCCTTTTTGAAGGTGTCAGCTTAGAAAGCTGCAATGACACCCTGATTCACCACCCTTGGCCTTTAAGTCCTTGAACAAACTTCGTGCCTTTGCCTGGATCACCAGTAAACTGAGGAATGTGGCACTGATTTTAATCAAGCCACACTGATAACAAGCGCTCCATATCTCCTGCTGCAAAGCGGCGTAACGATTCTAATTTGGTTTGCAATGTGATCACCTTCCAACAACGTCGTGGCGCTTTGAAACAGTGGGATCATTTCTTGGTCTTTTAGGACTCGTGTTGGTGATGGATGCAGTGATATGTTTCCTCCCCAAATCAAAACAAAGCCAGTGCACAATGGAACTGAGATGAGCGGGTATGCTGTCGCGTTCTCTGTCATTCAGAGCATTGTATCATAGCTCTCAGTCCCCACGCACCAAAACAAAGCGAGGACTTGCCGTCCAATTTGGCCGGTAGGGGGCGATGCCCGGCAAACGTACTTGCCGCCTTGCCCATCGATGCATTGAAACGGGACGTTAAATGCGTCCACGGTGAAGTGAGCCTTAGGCAACTTTTTAGCGAAACAACGTAGAACGGTGCCGACGTTAACCTAGGAGTGACCGTACCATCGTAATCCCGCATTTCCAATTCGCACAGTTAGCTACGCGCGGTGCGCAAAAAAAGGTTCTACATACTCTGGAGAATTCCGTACACAGCAGCGGAAACTCGCAGCATCCTTCTGAACGTTGTTTTCCCACATTGATGCATGACAATAGAAATGTTATCAATCAGCATTGTTTTGCAATTGCTGCAGTTAATTTGCAAAGGGATATCAGTGGGATCGGGATAGTGTTCCATTGGGCCAACACTTGGTGTGATTGAGCATACGTCATAGATGATGGCTTGCGCTGTATTTTTTGGTGCACATAAGGTTTTTATTGACTACAACTTGTGTGTTAGCATGTATCTGATAACAGATGTTGCCTACATACACACATTCTGGGTTTTTTTTTTGCATTCAGAAATTAACTAATTTTAGTTTGCAGTTGTGAGTTATTTAGAAAATAAAAAAAACTCAACAGTTGAATGGATATGCGTTTTTCATTTCGCTATTTTGTGTAATGCATGTGTTATGATTGTGCATTCTTCCCTTGGAATGTGTGCCTTTGTTAATCTATAAGTCAAATACAGGGTGTTCCAATTAAGCGTTCTTAACACGAGCTCTTTTTATGAGTCCTCAAACTAAGTGGGCTCTTTGGTTCCCACACTTGCATCGGATTTCTTGGCAGCAAGTGTGTGTGTGTGTGCAAACCAATATATGTTTGCGTTCTAAGAGCTGAGAGAGTGCATTTTGCCCACCAGGGCGAGCTCCAGGGATACGGCAATAAGTATTCCAATCTCTTGTCTAATCTTGAAAGATTTCCCTCCAGAGAGCCTTTGCACCGCTGGGAACAGCCAAAGCTAAACCATGCCAGAATTTGGATTTATTTATTCCACTATGTCCATGGTGCTGCGGTTGGCTTTGAAAAGGTGCCATTAATCTTTAGAGATGTGTCCAAAGCACTCGTTTGTTTATTGTTTCTTGCATAATTTTTAATAGTTTTTTATTGGTTTTCTGTTCCCCAGAGGCAGCATGAGAAACTACTGGCAGATCTTGAGGATGAATGTGTGACTTGCATTTCCTTTAAAAGAAAACCCCACTGTATCTACATAAACATGCACGTTTACATATACATACCAGGTGGTTGTTGTAAGGCCTTGACCAATCACATTCCTCTGCAAATTGGTATTGATTTATTACCACTTATTAATGACATTATGTAAGATTGTACGCACGACAGCTTAAGCTTAAAGTTAAATCACCGTTTTTTTGGTTGCTGTAAGAACTTTCAGTTTTTATATTCTGCATGTACAGAGTTATAGTACACACAACACGTTTCTTGAAATCCATCGTAACTTGGGCAAAAACAACGCGGTCAGAATAAAAATTGCTGGAAACTGCCACTGCAAGTTTTTGCAGTTAATTGTTCAAGCACTACGTCAAAGCACTGCTGTGGTGTGGTGATGAGCGAACTGCTCTACTCTATAAACCCGGCCACCTGATTTAAATTCCTGCCCAAAACTAACATCAGTGGCGAGTGATAACCGAACTGTTCCAGTGTCCCCCTGCCCCGAGCCACTTCAACTCACATCGACCAGTCTGGGTGAAGCATTGCTAAACAACCCCCTTGGACCAACAAACTAAACAATTTTTTATACATTTATTTTTTTTATTTTACCAGGTGAGGCCCACTGAGCTATATAGCTCTTTTTCTCTAGCCAACCTGGCCACAAATTATAACACAATTAAGTGGTTTATCATGTGGAGATTTATAGCAGCCAAATACTCTAAACGCATGTTGAGTCTAAATGTAGGGGTAGGGGGAGGACCCGGAAAAAAAAAAACCACGACCACGGGGAGAGCATGCAAACTCCCAAGTATGCAGCGTCAAGGTCGGGATCGAACCCATGACCTATATACCAAGCGAGGTAGTTAGCATGTCACCACCGCGGCACCCTGGTATGGGGCGGCCTTCATCCAGCAGTGAATTGGCAGACGGCTGTAAATTATTATTATTTGAAATCACATTACTATTTTAGACTTGTAAAATGTGTATTTTATTTCCCGGTAGAATCAAAATTGGAATGCAGATAGTGTATCATTTACCGACGCTGTGGCTTAAATAGATCATGTCTTGATTTACTGTAGAAACCATGCCAGCTACAGAGCTAATGCTATCACAACCATTCCAAGCCAAGGGGGGGTCTGCTGTTTTCAAGGGAGCCATTGTGTCCATGGCATCACATGCCTGGCACTCGGCAAATGAAAGCTCATGACAGAAATCTGTGGATGCTTGTAAATTCTCTCTTCAGCGTTGTAACAATGTTTACCCGAACGGGCATATAATTGTTGGCACACCACCGCTATCGGGCGTAAGAGTTTTTCCCTTCTGTTTTACTTTTGTGGTCAACACAAGTGATCCAAACACAGGTAAGAATTCATATTCTTAGTTTTTTTAAAAGGTAAGAATTCGTTTTGTTGTGCATATGTCCACGACCGCTCATAGCTGACCAAGTTTGGCATGAGCTGACTTCAAAATACTTGTCATGCGCATGACCGAAACACACATTTTTTTTGCACAGCACTTACAGAATCAGAATATTTATTTACACTGGAGGAATCAGATGAGCTATAAAGCTCTTTTTCACAGATGTCCAGTAGGGGCACGTAACAACGTTACAACAAACAATACAAAAACACGATAAGAGTGCCAAGGACAAGAAAGGTAATCAATTTATTATTATATTATTATCAGAGTTGTCTCTTTTTTTTGTTTGCATTTTGACTGCTTGTGTTGTGGTTATTGCAAACATGATGCCTTGAATAAAGGTGTCAGTTGTTGTGCCAGTTAAAAGGGTAAAACCTATTCCTATATTTTGTTACTGGCAAAGGAGGTCTCAATGTAAATGCTCACCCCGAGCCCTCAATACTCTGATAGTGCGCTGTTTTTGAGTTGTACGCCTTTTGGCGTCTTCTGGTCCAACACCAATAGAGACTAGGCTCTAAGAAAAGCTGTCTCGGGTGTGGACCAATCCAATTCAAGGACAGTGCATATTATTATCAGAGTTGTCTTTTTTTTGTTTGCATTTTGACTGCTTGTGTTGTGGTTATTGCAAACATGATGCCTTGAATAAAGGTGTCAGTTTTTGTGCCAGTTAAAAGGGTAAAACCTATTCCTATAAAGGTAATCAAATCACACAAATACAACAACTAAACCATCCCCATCCTACCAGACAAAGCCCACTGAGGTATTCACTTTATTTTCAAAAGGAGACCTAGCCATAAATGTTAGCTCAACAAAGTGGCTTTTCATTTGGACATTTATAACAGCGAAGTAATTTAAACGCACGATTCTAAATATGGAGGGAAACACCGGAGGACCCAGAGAAAGAATCTACGCGACCACGGGGAGAACACGCAAACTCAAAATATACAGCAGGCGTCAGGGTCGGGATCGAACCTCCGATCTCCTGCAGACCAGGCGAGGAAGATCACATTGCAACCACGTTTGTATGACCACATACAAGTTTTAGAACACAAACCTATCAAATGTGTTTTATCATTACACGCTTT